CCTGTGACCTCATAGGGTCTGTGACCCCAAAACTGTTCAGAATGCTGGCTCAGACTCTGTAGGGGTCAATGGTGGAAGATCTTCCATCAGGCTGAATGGCTGAGACCTTGCCTGCCAGGCCTCGCTGCAGACCTGGGGCATCCAGGTAGCTTTGAGGCGCTGAGGTCTGTGTCCCAGGGGGCTGTCTTTCTTGAGACCTGGACACACCTGCCCCTCCAGCACAGAGGCCCCCTCGGTCCCAGCTGGCGCATTTCTCCTCTCCGCCCTCCTCCAGACCTCAAGGGCCAAGGCCCAGGCCAGATGCCAGCTTGTCAAGGAGACTGATTAAAAACAGCTTTGCTGGGGGCGGATGGCTTGATGTCCTTGGCCTGGAGTGGGGATCGATAAGCAATTGTTTTTCTGTTGGCAACAAAGAAAATTCTCCATTAACTTTCTCGGATGCTGCCAGACTACTTTTCTTTTCAGGAACTCTGTAGCCCTGTCAGAGGTGGCTCTGGGAGGGAGGACGGGCCGCTGGAGCCGCTCCCTGGCCCTGGGGAAGGCAGGCCCACACCACCGGGGCTGGTGGAACACACACAAGAAGAGGAACATTCTGGAATACAACCCGGCAGGTAGCCGGCATTCAGTAGGTATTTGTTGAAAGAATAGCTTTCTGAGCACTTAACCATGAGCCAGACATGATATTGAGTGCTTAGCTCATTCAATCCTCATGGCTACCTGGTGAGTGTCCATTTTGTAGATGAGAAAACCGAGGCTGAGAGAGGCTGAGTCACTTGTCCACTGAGGGCCCAAGCAGTCATCCTTCAGGGGCCCTGCCTATCCCCTCCTGGGAGATGAGGATCATAAAAAGGCTATGCAAAGTCACAGAGAACGCTGAACTTGGGTCGTGTATTCTTTCACTGACGGGGAGGGCAAGACAGGAACACAGTTTAGGATTTCTTTCTCAGACGCAGTAAGGGGGGATAGAGGATTAGGAGATGGGACCGCCTCTGACTTCTATCATGGTTACAGTTATTTTCTTTCTTTTAAAAATTCATCTCTGGGGCCTAGCCCAGTGGCTGAGTGGTTAAAGTTCCATGCATTCCTCTTCAGTGGCCCGGGATTGCGGGTTCAGATCCCAGGCGTGGCCCTACTCCACTCACCAGCCATGCCGCAAAGAAAATAGATAAAAATATAGGAAGATTGGCACAGATGTTAGCTCAGGGCTAATCTTCCTCACCAAAAGAAAAAAGAAAAGAAAAGAAAAGAAAAAATTCATTTCTGAATGGTTACTGTTTGCACATGGTACAAAAATAAAAGTAAATACAGTAAAAGTAGGTTCCTCCCACCCTGTCCTCCCACTTCCAGTTGTTTTGTCATGAGGCCATTGTTACCATTTTCTTGAGTACCTTTCCAGAAATATGCTATCCATGTGCAACTATGTATACATGTTTGGCTCCCGCCCCCCTCCCCCCCCCCCCCCCCCCCCCCCCGCCCATGGGCAGCACACTAATGCTTAAATTATTTTCCATGTAACAATGTGTCTTGGAGGTAATTCACATTAGTATGTGTAGAGTCATCTCTTTTCAAATAGAGGCATGGTTTTCTCCTGGGATACGTGTACCTCATTTTATTTACTCAGTCCCCTTGGATGATCATTTCAGACCACACTACCAAAATGATCTTGTACATACATCATTTTTTACGTATAAAATTGTTTGTAGAATAAACACTCAGGCGTGGAACTGCTAAGTCAAAAGTATGTGCATTTGGAATTTTGTTAGATATTTGTGAATTTCCCTACATAAGGATGGTACCATTCGTACTCCCCATGGCCTCACCAAAATAGTGCTATTATTATATATTTTTGTCTTTGCCAATCTGATAGTTGAAAAAAAGTTTCATGGTAGTTTTATTATTATTATTTTCTTAATTTTGGTAAAATATATATAACATAAAATTGGCCATTGTAACCATTTTTAGGTGTACAATTCAGTGGCATTAACTAAATTCACAATGTTGTGTAGCCGTCACCACTATCTATTTCCAGAACTCTTCATCACCCCAAACAGAAACTCTGTACCCCTTAAACAGCGACTCCCCTCTCCCCCAGCCCCTGCTAACTTCTACTTTAACCTTCCGTCTCTATGAATAAGTGGAATCATACATTTGTCCTTTAATATCTAGCTTGTTTCGCTTAGCGTGTTTTCAAGGCTCATCCGTGTTGTAGCATGTGTCAGAGGTGAATAACATCCTATCGTATGGCTAGACCACATTCTGTTTATCCCTTCATCTGTTGATGGACACGTGGTTGTTTCCAGTTTTTGGCTCTTGTGAATAGGCTGCTGTGGACATGGGTGTCTGAGTATCTGTTTGAATCACTGCTGTCAGTTCTTTCGGATAAATACCTGAGAGAGCAATTGCTGGGTCAAACTTAAATTCTACGTTTACGTTTCTGAGGACCTGCCAAACCATTTCATTGTAGTTTGAATTTGCACTTTTCTTACTATACTCGAGGCTGGGCATCTCGTCACATGACTAGGTTCTTTGTCATCCCTTTACAGTGAACTCTGTGTTCATAAACGGTGCCCGTGTCCAGGCTGGGACACTGTGCTTATTTCCTTAGTGCCTTTCCCATTGGTCTCTCTCTGCTCCACAAGAGCAAGGACCCCATCAGCCTACGTCACTGTGCGAATTGCCTGACGTAGAAGCTGTGCCATAAATACTTCTTGCAGGACTGTCCCAAAAGGGCAAGTGGAATTTGTCTGTCCCTCAGCCAGGTTCCCTGGGGAGCACAGGCTTTCTGCTCCCATCTGTACCCGCCTCTCTTCTCCCTCACTGCCACCCAGTGTCATTGAGAGATATAACTTTATTCATTCATAAAATCTCTCTACTCGGCACTCACGGCTTTCCTGGCACCTTCGTGATGTGGGTGATCAGCATGGAGCCGCCACCATCCACATCCTCAGATGTACTCCCTGAATTCCAGCGGCACCTGTGACATTTGTCCAGTAGAATTTGTCAAACACATGAACCAAAGGTTAATATTCTGTCCCAGAGACGGAAGGAATTGACAGTCTAAGGGACTGAGTCAGTTATTTTTTCTTTTAAATTCACATAACATAAAATTAACGATTTAAAAATGTACAATTCGTGGGGTGGCCCAGTGGCGCACTGGTTAAGTTCCCACGTTCCGCTTCGGCAGCCTGGGGTTCGCCGGTTCGGATCCTGGGTGCGGACATGGCACCACTTGGCAGGCCATGCTGTGATAGGCGTCCCACGTATAAAGTAGAGGAAGATGGGCATGGGATGTCAGCTCAGGGCCAGTCTTCCTCAACAAAAAGAGGAGGATTGGCAGAAGATGTTAGCTCAGGGCTAATCTTCCTTAAAAAAAAAAAAATTCAGTGTCATTTGGTACATTTCCAGTGTTGTGCAACCACCACTTTCATCTAGTTCCACAACATTTTCATCACCCCAAAGGGGAACTCTATACCCATTAGCGGTCACTCCCCCATGCCCCCAACACCTCCCCAGTCTTAGGCAACAACTAAGCTACTTTCTGCCTCTATAGATTTGCCTATTCTAGAAACTGCATATAAATAAAATCACACATATGTGACCTTCTGGCTCTGGCTTCCTTCACTTAGCATGTAGTTTTGAGGTTCATCCAGATTGTAGCAGGTGTCAGTACCTCATTCCTTTTTATGGCTGAATCATATTCCATTGTGTGGATGGACCACATTTTGCTCCTCCGTTCCCGTGGTAGACGTGGAGGTTGTTTCCCCTTTTGGCTTTCGTGAATAGTGCTGTTTGGGTGTATACCTAGGAAGAGAATTGCTGGGTCATATGGTGATCATCTGTTTAATTTTTTGAGGAACCACCAAGCTGTTTGACGTCAGCCTTTTTGACCTCATGTTTGCCTCATGTCTGGCGACACCAGCTGGGGGCTGAACTAGGAAAACTTTCGATAATAGATATGTCGAGCCCGGCTCCTCAGACAGCGCAGACTGCCCTCACTCACGCTCTCGGGCGCCTGCCTGTCCTTTCTCTGTGTGACCCCGACCCGACCCCCCTCCTCGGTTGAGAACCATTGGCCTGAGGCCAGGCCAGGAGACCGGACTGCTGTGCGCGGGCTTTGCTGTAGGAGTCCTTGGACAAATTCCTTTGTTTCTTTCAAGCCTTGGTTTCGCCATTTACAAAAGGGGGGGTATAATAGCCAACCGATAACCTAGGGTGCTTGTGAGATTATGTCGACGTGTGGAAGATGTTTTGTAAAGTGCTGTCTGGGTCATTGCCATTGTGAAGCAATGTAGGCCAGAGGTTGCCATGTGGAACTATTTCATTTGGCCTGCCCAGCACTTAAAAATATTTGAAATAATTGCTAATTAAAAAAAAAAATGAAGCCATCTCACCTAACATCTTGGATTTAGGGCTTCTCTTGGAAAAAAAAAAAAAAAGGGAAAGCCAGGCAATAGCAGGCCGGGATCCCTGCTGAGCAGCAGTCGGCTTGAGCTGAGCAGCTGCTGTGGCTTAGCCAGCGTAGGGCTCTGTTTGGGGTGTTTTGTTTAAAAAAAATTTTTAATTGCTTTTTCTCTCCAAATCCCCCCAGTACGTAGTTGTATATTTTAGTTGTGGGTCCTTCCACTTGTGGCCTGTGGGACACCACCTCAGCACAGCCTGATGAGCCGTGCCATGTCCGCACCCAGGATCCGAACCCAGGATCCAAACCCGTGAAACCCTAGGCGGCAGAAGCAGAGCCCACAAACTTAGCCACGGGACTGGCCCCTGTTTTGGGGTTTTCTCCTACTTGGTTCCTACAGGAATTGAGTTTGGACTCTAGTTAAGAGTGTGAGGAGGGGCTTTTAAAATAAGGAAACGTAGAGGATGCTCTTCTGTACGACTGAGAGCAGATCCCATATTTGGCAAGATTGTTTTGAGGACTCAGCCCGAGGGCAGCAGGAGAGGCCCCTTCGCTGGCCCTGCCCGCAGGCTGGGGCGGCTGACCCCCCCTCTCTCTGCAGGTGTCCGCTGCCGGATGGGACTGCCCCGGTGTGTCCGCGAGGGGTGAGGCCCGCACCGCACCATGTCATCATGCGTCTCTAGCCAGCTGAGCAGCGACCGGGCCGCCCCCCAGGATGAGCTGGGGGGCGGGGGCGGCAGCAGCAGCGAAGGCCAGAAGCCCTGTGAAGCCCTGCGGGGCCTCTCGTCCCTGAGCATCCGCCTGGGCATGGAGTCCTTCATCGTGGTCACCGAGTGTGAGCCGGGCTGTGCTGTGGACCGTGGCTTGGCCCGGGACCGGCCACTGGAGGCTGATGGCCGAGAGGTCCCCCTCGATGCCTCCGGGTCCCAGTCCCGGCCCCACTTCTCCGGTCGCAAGCTCTCCCTGCAGGAGCGGTCCCAGCTGGACGCGAACGGCCGCTGCGTGCACCCGGGCCTGCCCCCGTCACCCGTCGGCTCCCCGCAGTTGTCCCCGCGGCTGCCCCGGCGGCCCACGGTGGAGTCCCACCACGTCTCCATCACCGGCATGCAGGTGCGTGAGCCGGCGCCCCCGGGGCCCGCGCGTCTCCGCGTGGGGTCGGCCCGGAAGGATTGCAGTGCACCCAGTTGATCTGGGAGGTGACCCCAGGAAGTCTGGGAAGAAGTCGGCAAAGGGCGTGCGATGGTGCGGGTTCCCACCGTGGGCAGCTGGGCTTCATCTCTGGGACCCCGTGAGACAGCGGAGAGCCTGAGCCCCAGAGTTATCCCACCCGGGGCCGAGGGAGCGCGGCCCTTCACCCCTCCTCCCGCAGTCACTGGGAGGCCCGGGTGGGCGGGGCGGCTGCGGAGCCAGAGTGAGCCCCCAGCGGGGAGACGCAGGTGCCGGCGGCTCTGGAACGGGGATGGCCGGTCAGCGAGAGGCCCCCGGCCTGAGAGCTGGCCCCCTGGCTGGGTGCGCACCGGACACTGCACTCAGGGCGCTGTGTGCGTTCTCATCCCATCCGCACCGTAACCTTAAGGGAGGGAGGGAGGTTAGAACTCACCTCCCCGCCAGGGTTCCCAGGGCCCCGAGTGACCCCGCGTGACCTGCTTCTTTTCCCGCCTTCCTGTGACTCTCAGGGCTGAGTCCACACCCACTTCCGTAGGCTTCTCAGATATCCGAGCTCCCTCCCTCCCTTAGCCTTGACTCTTGCTGTCCAGTCTCCCTGGAACCTCCCCCATCTTTGCAAGGCCACCTCCATCTGATGCCCAGGTCTCAACTCAGATGTCGTCTCCTCTGAAAGGCCTCTGGGACCACCCTCTAAGCAGCCCTGGGTCCCCAGCCCCTCTCTGGCCTGTTACCCTGTTGACTTTTCTTCCCAGTGCTCACCACCATCTGATTATGTGTGTGTGTAAGTTGTGTGCTGCCTGTCTCCCCCAGCTGGGATGGAAGCTCTGTGGGAATAGTCTATTCCACCACCATCCCCAGCTCCTAGCAGGGTGCCTGGTGCATAGTAGGAGCTTGAAAATATTTGTTGAAAGAATGAACGAATTGAATTGGGAGCAGCCTGGAAATCAGGAATGGCTTTCTTAGGAGACTGATGTTTCGCTGAATTTTCAGGGCTAGGTAGAATTTTCAGGGCTAGGTAGAATTTTCATAATTGGAGATGGGTACACAGAGAATTCACTGCAGGGGGAGTACACAGCATGAACAAAGGCCCAGAGGTAGAAGGCATGATACGGGGGAAAGGGCAGTCAGGGATTCAGTTAGCTAGAGTATGGGGCCCATAATGGGAGCTACTGTGGCAACAGGGCTAGAGGGAGAGATTGGGTTTATATCAATCAATATCAATAGAGAAACAAAGGAGCCCCTCCCCGCCCCCCTGACAACAGTGGCTTTAACACAATAGGGCTTATTTATCATGTAAAATAAATCTGGAGCTAGGCATTTGAGACTGGTTAGCCTCATGGTCTCAAGATGGCTGCTGTGGCTCTAGTCTTCACAGCTCCATTCCAGGCAGAAAGAAGGAGCAGGGAAGAAGCGCAAAATGTGTCTGGCTCCTAAGTCAGTCTTCTTTCTTGGAAGCTCTACCCAACAACTTCTACCTACCTCCCACTAGCCAGAACTCAGTCACGTGGCCACCCCAAGCTGTAAGAGAGGCTGTGAAATGCAGTCTTCTAGCCCAGAACATTGCCCCCAGAGTTCCGTTAAAAGGAAGGAAGGGGAGACTGGTATTTGATGGGCAACTAGGTGCTCTGCGAAGGTCAGAGCTTTAGAGGGCCTCGAAGGCCAGGCTTGGAGTCAGGATTTGCCCCTGGAAGCCGCAGGGAGCTGGGGCTGACATGGTCAGAGTGGACCCTTGAAAGCTGAATTTAGCAGTGTGTAGGGGTTGGATTAGAAGGCAGTGAGAGCCCCCAGGACAGCTCCACAGTGTCCCCTTCTGCCTGTCATTTCCCTCCAGGACTCAGGGGGATAAAAGCGACACTGGAGAGAAACATTTGAAACAACCTAAAATGTCCACCAGTGAGGGGCGGGCTCTGCGTGCCGTGGAGACACACGGACAGCAGAGACACGCGGACCTGCTCTGTGTGTACGTTCTGACACGGAGCTGTCTCCAGGGACACTGTTGAGTGAGAAAAGGAAGTTGAGAAATGATGTAGTGTGACACCATTTATGTCTCTCCAAACCCCATCCCCAAACAGTGCCCTGTATTTTCCCCGGGTGCGTGTGTGTGCATCTGCACAGAAAAGGGCCTGGGTGTGTATACGCCAAGCTGACAGCAAGGTCTGGGGAGAGGGTTAGAATTGGGAGAGGCAGTTAAGGGAAGTTTTGGGCTTATCTGTCACACTTGAAGTTTTCTCTCGTGTTTCTTTTCCCAGTTTTACTTCTTGTGATATTCTCCCCCTAACTATATTGAGGTATAATTCATTTCAAATGTATGATAATATGGTCAGCTTTGATGTATGTATATCTGCAAAACCATCACCCCAGTCAAGGTCGCGGGCATTTCCAGCACATGCAATGATGCAGCCCTCTCCCCGCTTTCCCTTTCCCAAGTACCCACTGACCTGCTTTTTAATAGATTAATTTGCAAGTTTTAGAATTTTGTATAAGCGGAATCATTTAGTGTGCACACTTTTTTAGCTCAGCTCCTTTCACAGCACAATGATTTTGACCTTTATTCATGTTGTTGCATCTGCTAGTAATTCATTCCTTTTTACTGCTAGATAGTATTCCATTGTATGGGTGTGCCACGGTTTGTTTATCCATTTACATGTTGATTTGTTTCTAGCTTTTGACTGTTACAAATAAAGCTATTATGAGCTTTTGTATACAAGTCTTTGCTGGACACGTGTTTTCATTTCTCTTGGGTAAATACCTAGGAGTAGAGTGGCTGGGTCGTATGGTAAGAAACTGCCAAACTCTTTTCTAAAGAGGCTGCACCATTTTAAATTCCTCCCAGCAGTGTATGAATGTTTTATCTGCCCTACATTCTGACAACACTTGGTTTGGTCAGTCTTCTTGGTTTTACCAATTAATGGGTGTGGTTTTAATTTACATTTCCCCTCGATTAATGATGTTGAGCTTCTTTTCATGTGCTTATTGATCATTTGTATATCTTCTTTGGAGAAATGTCTTTTCAAATCTTTTGCCTATTTTTTAATTGGGTTGTCTTCTTAATTTGTTGTAAGAGTTCTTTATATATTCTGGATACCAGTCTTTTCTCTGATATATGTGTTACAAATAGTTTTTTTCAGTCTGTAGTTTGCCTTTCATTTTCTTAATAGTGTCTTGAAGAGAAAAATTTTAATTTTCTTGAAGTTCAGTTTATCGTTTGTTTCCTTTTATGTTTTATACTTTTTGTGTATTGTCTCAGAAACCTTTGTCTGTCTCAAGGTCACACAGATTTTCTCTTGTGTCACTTTATGTTTTCACAGAAGAACATAGTCATAGATTACTTGTTTAATTTAAAATTAACTTCTAGGAGCCCGCCCGGTGGCGTAGTAGTTAAGTTCATGTGCTCCGCTTCTGTGGCCTGGGGTTCACAGGTTCAGATCCTGGCCTGGACCTAGCACTGCTCATCAAGCCACGCTGTGGTGGCATCCCACACACAAAATAGAGGAAGATTGGCACAGATGTTAGCTCAGTGACAATCTTCCTCAGCAAAAAGAAGAAGATTGGCAATAGATGTTAGCTCAGGGCCAATCTTCCTCACACACACACACACACACACAAATAAAATTAAATTAACTTTTAAAAGTGGGCACAACCTTTTAAAAAGTGGGCATTAAAAGAGTACATACTATTTGATTACGTTTTTACAGAGTACAAAAGCTGAGGTGTTAGGAGTCAGGATGGTGGTTGCTGTGGAGAGGAGCCAGTGACTGGGAGATGCTTCTGGGCAGCTGGGAATGCTCTCTTTCTTGACTTGGGTCCTGGTTGCATGTTTGTTTAGTTTGTGAAAAATGTATCTGGCTGCAAACTGACAATTTGTGTTCTGTGTGTTTCTACTTACTTTCCAGGATTGTGTACAGCTGAACCAGTACACACTGAAGGATGAAATTGGAAAGGTAAATATGCCAGGAGCCAGGCTGGTTTTCCATGCCTATCAAGGATGTCTGAGATACTATGGAGGGAACCCACTAGAGGTGGGAGTGGGAGGTGAGGCTTTGGAGACAAGGCTATAGGGGAGAGTTTTGCCATTCATGGTCCATTTATTTTGTTTTATTTTTATACTGTCATATTAATACGTTTCTGCAAAAGCTCAGAAAGTTTAGAGAAATCACGTATCATCATGGTGATGGTTACATCCTCCCTAATTAGTGTTAGTTTTTCCCCCTCTCAGGTATTCTCACTTCTATTTTTGCTATTGTTTCAGCCAATGAGCAGTGTCATTGCAGGGGTCAGAAACTCAAATGCCAATAGAGAAGAAGTGAGTAATAGAAATGACTAATGCAGGATAGGTGTATAGTAGGGAGTGGTGAGGACTGTGGCAAACTGTTCACATACAGAAATGAGGGCTCCATATCTTCTCATTTTTTCAAAAGAAGCTGGGAATCTGGATTTTTATATTCAATCTTTCTGTTTTTAAATGTTGGCAACTAATTCAAACTTTGTGAAAACTGCAGGTCCGACAGAATACTATTTCAGGGCAAATTCGGCCAATGAGCTATTGGTTTGCAACCTCTGTATGAGGGTCCTCATTTTACCAATCATAATTTCTGGATAGTATGTCATGGGCATCTCCCTTTATCCAGGGCTCCTATGGCGTGGTCAAGTTGGCCTACAATGAAAATGACAATACCTACTATGTAAGTATCCACATCCCCCTCCCACCCCCATCCTTGTCCCTTGTCCAGAGGAAAAGCCTCCTGTCCAGCACTTGGCTTCCTGGACGGTTTTCTTAGCTGTTGTCTCATTTTGTTCTTGGATCATGTCCAATTTGTGCACTAGGAAGGAAGTAGTGTTCCCATTTTACAGATGGGGAAATGGGGAAGCAAAGTGATTGGCTCAGGAGGAAAATGAGTAAATCCAGCAATGTCTCATATCCTTGCTCCGGCTGCCATTTCTGCATCCTCCATAGCACCGGTAGCAGGTGGAAGTGAGACAAATTGCCCTTATAGCTGAGGCTCCAGCCTCAGTCCAATGTGGGTTCAAATCCTGGCTGTCCCATGTGAGAACTGTGCGTTCTTGGGCAAGTGACATAACTGCTGAACCTCAGTTTCCCCATGGGCAAAATAGCCAGTCATACCCCTTCCTGCCCATCACTCCAGCTCACTCATGTCTTGATTCAGTGGTAGTGAGTCCTAAGGCTCGTGATCCCCCAGCTTGGAGAGCTGACCTGGAACCTTGGAAGCACCCTTAGGGCTGGAGGGGCCCCGGGAGTTCAGCCTCCACACGACCTGTAGCTTCTTGACCCACTCTGATGACGAAGTGCTCACTACGTTGTCCTCAGGCGGCCAGCGCACCAAGAGCTGGGGCAGGCCTATGCGTGGAGCGAGCTCTCCCTCCACCCTCCTCTCCATTTTAATCAGGATGTGGGGTCTTTTCTCCCACAGGCGATGAAGGTGCTGTCCAAAAAGAAGCTGATAAGACAGGCGGGCTTTCCACGTGAGTTTGGTGGGCCAGGGCTTTGCTCTTAGGTGCAGGGGCTGGGGCAAGACAGAAGATTCCACTGAATGGTGTCTCCTACAAAGAGTGCCCTGGGTGGATGACCCAAAGACAGCACTGGGCCTCCTGCTGAGGTTTTTAATTCATTTTCATTAAAAAAAATTTATTGAAGTAATATAGGTATCAAGTCAAAAAATCCATTAAAGGAAAACAGTTTGACAGTTCCTCAAAATGTTAAACATGGAGTTACCATATGACCTAGCAAATCTACTTGTAGGTCTATATACCCAAGAGAATTGAAAACATCTGTTCACACAAAAGCTGGTACACAAGTGTTCAAAGCAGCACTATTCATAATAGGCAAAAAGTGGAAACCACCTAAATGTCAGTGGATGAGTGGATAAATAAAAGGTGGTCTGTCTATCCAATGGAATATTATTCAGCCACAAAAAGGAATGGAGTATTGATATAAGACCTTGAAACATTATGCTAAGTGAAAGAAACCGGACATAAAAGATCACATCTTGTATGATTCTGCTTATATGAAATGTCCAGAATAGATAAATCCATTGAGACAGCAGATTAGTGGTTTCCCGGGGGCTGGGAGTAAGAGGGAGTGGGAGGTGACTGTTAATAGGTATGGGTTTTTTTTGGGAAGCCATGAAAATGTTCTAGAATTATATAGTGGTGATGGTTGTGCAACCTTGTGAATGTACTAAAAACCATTGAATTATACATTTTAAAATGATGAATTAAAGAAATTTAAATACCACAAGGCATTACACTTGTATCTACAAAAAAAAAAAAGGCAAAAGACCAGGAGGACTTAGAAAGGAAGACAAATTCCTTGCTATACTCCTCCCTCTCCCTACAGGCAGCCCCCACTGTTAGCTCTTTTTGTGGCTGGTAATTACTCTGTGTGGTCAGATGATAGACCTGTGGGTGAGCATATCTGAGGCTGCTCCAGCATGAGCTCCCTGTCAGCAGTGCAGGGAAAAATGTATTCTTGGACCAAAAAGAGAAAGTCAATAAGGAAAAACATAAACCCCATCTTAGCACCCAACCCTGGTTTATCCTGCTTATCCGAACTCTGAGCCAGATAATATCCTTGTGCTGTTATTTGTTATCTATTTTTGACATTTTCTTCTGACTTCCTTTGAGGACAGCTTAACCCACTCCTTACCTCCCTTTCCCCAATCAGGCAATGTTGTGTTACTACACTTGTCACTTTCTTCCTTGTTCCAGCAGGTGTAGCGAGTGGCAAGTATCCTTTCCTTGAACTTATCTTTCCTCTTTTTCTATCCCACTTATGACACCTGATCTTGCTTTTACTTTTCCAAGGCTGACACATCTACGTTCAGTTCTGTTCATCACGGTTAGATCCTTACATGTAGTGTGTGACGTGAGTGTCTTGACTGTGGGCCTCTCCATCCCCGACCTGTTGACTCTTAGTCACTGCAGGGCCAAGCTGGGAATTGATTACGTCTCCCTTTTGTCATAGTCTTTTGTATTTTTCTCTCATTGGCTTTTCCTTCTTTTCCTATCTCTGACCTCATTTGATATCTCTACTATTTCCATGAGTTAAGGAGATGAGGGGAAATGTTTTTGTCTATCTTATGGAGTGGGAAACCTGAGCCCCAGAGAGGGGAAGTGATTCATGCTCCCTGGGATGTTGAGATTGCCACACAGACCGCAGACTTCTTTTTCTCACATCTCAATGTATTCCTGATTTTCACTGAGGCCTGGGGCATGCGATGGGAAGGAGGGGATTAACAGAGGGCTGAGCAAGGGGCTGGGTCTCTGGTCTCACTGATTTCCAGCAGCAGAGGAGACAGATGAGAAAAAGGATGTGTAAAGCCCCTGGTAGCATCAGCTACTCTAGCCCTGCTGAGACCCTTCCCTTTCAGTTGTCCTACCTGTAGCTGCGATCTGCAGGGGAAAATCTCTTTGCCCTGACCCTGGATGGTTCATGTCTCCTTCAGGTCGCCCTCCACCCCGAGGCACCCGGCCAGCCCCAGGGGGCTGCATCCAGCCCAGGGGCCCCATTGAGCAGGTATACCAGGAAATCGCCATCCTCAAGAAGTTGGACCACCCCAACGTGGTGAAGCTGGTGGAGGTGAGGTGGGGGGACATGGAGGAAGGTGGGAAGAAGGGTCCAGCCCTGCCTCTGTTATTAATGAAATGTCATACCACTAGTCTCCAGGGACAGCCATGTCACCTCAAACAGCTCATTGCAGGGCTGAGTAGTAATTGCTGCAGGCTCCTTCCTCCCTGTTATTTCATGTAATCCTCACTCTTCTCTAAGACTATTTATTACTCTCATTTTACAGATGAAGAAATTGAGAGTCAGAGGGATACTGAGGGTGCACTTCACCCATTTCTGTCTCTTTGGAGCTGGTTCACTTTCTACTACACCTATGTGTAATAACACAAAAGCAGCCATACACAAGTAAACAAATGGGCTGTGCTGTGTTCAAATAAAACTTTATTTACAAAAACAGGCAGAGGGCCGTATTTGGCCTCCACACTGTGGTTTGCCAACCCCTGCTCTAGAAGAGCAGTTCTCATACTTTTTGGTCTCAGGACCCTTTATGCTCTTAAAAATTATTGAAGACCCCAAGAAGCTTTTGTTTGTTTGGGTTACATTTGTTAATATTTACCGCATTAGAATTTAAAACTGAGAAATCTAAATGTTATTTATTAGTCCATTTAAAAACAACAATAATCGTACTACATATTAACATAAGTGGTATGTTTTTATGAAAAATAACTTTTCTGAAACAAAAAATATAGTGAGAAGGATGGCATAGAATTTACCTTTTTGCAAATTTGTTATTGTTGTTAATGTCTGTCTTAATGGAAGACGGCTGAATTCTCGGATCTGCTTCTGCATTCAACCTATTGTGAAATCCCATGTCGTGGTTTCTGGAACACCTCTGTATAGTAGCAGAGAATGGGAGTGAAAAAGGAAAATATTGTCTTAGTGTTAAAGGGAAAATAGTTTTGATCTTATGGACTCTTTCAAAGCATCTTGGGGACCCCCAGAAGTCCCCAGACTTCGTTTGGCGCACCTCTGGTCTAGATGACAAGGGTTTGTAAACTGTGTATGATAAAGTACTTTATTGGTTGTGTGTTCAAAGTGCTGTGGGCGTGCGGAATGGGAGCAACCAGCCCAGCCTGACGGGGCGGGAGAAGGCCTCTCAGGGGAGGTGATGTTTGAGATGACCTTGGTTGTTCCTTGGATGGAGAAGACAGGGAAGGAATAGGGAAGGGCATCACAGGGGAAGGAACAGCATGTGCAAAGGGCTGGAGGCCGCTATTTGGGGGTTACATCCCTGCCTTTGGTAGATATGAGGGTTAGCAGCCATGACTTGCCTAGGGCCCATCAGGTGGAGAACTCTAGGTGGGCCAGGCCTTGGGTCTGATTCTACTCCGCAGAGCAGGGCTTTGGGCACAGGGCTCCAGGTTGGCTGCCCTGGGCCTCTGCCTAGAGTGCATCCCTTTCTCATGGCTCTTGTTCCGTGGATCTTGGGTGGCTGGGGAAGGCAAATTTGATGTGGGAAGAGGTGAGAGGGCCAGTCTACCTGAGAAGCCTGCCTTTGTTTCTCCCCAAACAAGAGAGATGGTGGCTGCAGGCCATCTCCACCTGTCACGCTGAGTTTCACACTCTCAACTCACTGCTGCTTGAGTTGGCCATCTTGGAGGAAGCCCAAGAGCGCTTGGTTAGCCAGCGGCTCTGGATCCTGGCGGGATCTCCCTTCTCCCCGCTGCCCTGTGGCCTGTGACCTCTCCACCCAACAAGACCGTTTGCCGGCCTGCCTGTCTGTGCATTCATCAGACATTTCCTGAGCTCCTGCCATGTGCCTAGTCCTGTGCAGGGCACCATGGAGGCAACTGAGGTGGATCCGCCTGCCACCTGCCCTTGGGAGAGAGGGAGAAAGTGTGATAAAGCGAAAGCAGGAGGGCCGTGAGAGAGGGCGAGAGAGGAAGTGCTGGGGCGATTCCAGGCAGGGAGACGTCATTTCCTGGGCAGCAGGGAATGGGGGCACTTCATGGAGGAGTCCATAGAGCCCAGACAGGGTTTGAATTTTCACCCTGAGGATCAGTCCATTGTCTCCTAGGAGACAGGCGGGATTCTTAGTAAAGCTGAGACATTTCCCAGGGGAGGAATTTTTGTAACCTTCCCTTTTGTAACCTCCTTTCTGGGTGTTTTGGACCCTTGAGGATTGGGCTAGAAGGTGCCTATTTTCCAGATGGCCATTTGGATCACACCCTCTGGGTTCTCTCCAGTGCCCTTCATCTTAACTGGGAAAAACAGCGGAAAGCACAGCCCTCCCCTCGGCGATGCAGGCATGCGGATGCTGCTTCCTCTCTGCTCATATCTGTTCTCTCTCTTCCTCTCCCCTGCTCCTTATCGCCTGCCTGTTCCGTGGGGCTGCGCCAACAGGTCCTGGATGACCCCAATGAGGACCATCTGTACATGGGTAAGAGAGCCCTTGCCTTCCGCTGCCCTCGCTCTGGCAGCTGCCAAAGCCCAGGGGCCCTCTCGAGGCACCCTCTGTCCCTGGCCTCTCGCACCAAGGACAGCTTCCCCTTTTGCGCTCTAGCTGGGCCCCACAGGGAGCCACAGAGAAGGCCATACCCCTGGTTTGAAGCAGGAGGTGGAAGCGTGTTCTTGCTGGGCCTTTATCTGGATGGCCTATTCATTCATTTGTGAACGCTTATTGAGCACCTACTGTATGTTGGGCACGTTCTAGACACTAAGGATGCAGTGATGAGTAGGAAAGACAAGGCCCCTGCTCTTATGAAGCTGTTATTCTAGTCGGGCAAGACAGATAGTCAACAACTAAATAAACTGGATCATCAACTTCGGATAGATGTTCTGAAGATGATTAAACCGAGCAATGTGAGAGAGAGAGATGGAGGGGCCATTTCAGATAAGAGGTGACCATTCGGCACCTGAGTGGTAAGGACACAGCCCGGTTACATCTGGGGAAGAGCATTCCAGGCAGAGGGAACAGCAGGTGCAAAGACCCTGAGGCTGGTGAGAGCTTAGCATGTTTGAGAAAAATATGGCTGGAGCAGAGTAAACTAAGGAAGTGAGTGGGGATGAGGATGGACCTGAGAGGTCATGGTGGGGCATTTGAGTCTTAGGGGGCCATTGAAGGATCTGGGCACTGCACATGGAAATGGAAGGACTCAGGTGTGTCCTCAGACACATCATTTTTTTTAAATGGTGAGGACATGAGGCAGCCCTCAGTCAGCTCTCAGCATAAGTGCTGATGAGGGAAGGAAGGGCAGGACTAATTCAAAACTGGACAGCGGACTGTCAGGCCCAGGAATGTCTGATTGACAGGTCACATGTCCCGGTAACGTCTGGCTTCGGTGGGTGTTCAGACGAGCCTGCGCATTCGAGCGAGTACAAACGACAGCAGAGAGGGGTATCAAGGAGATGAGGGAAGTGGACATGGCCAAGCTCAGTCTAGAATCCAGAAGTCTCCTGGATGAGCAAAGGGATGATCCTTTGCTGCACAAGGACTGATTGATCATAAAGGAATGGGTCTGGTTTGAAAATAGAGCTCAGAGCTCAATTTCCCCTAAAATAGTTGCTGTGGTTCTGTTCTGAGGATGCTGTTGTTGTGCAGGACATTTTATTTCCCCCCAGGGTATTATTGTGAAAAATGCTAAGCCTACAGAAAAGTCGAAAGAACAGTACAGTAAATCCCTGTATACCTACCACCCGTATCCAACAGTTAGTAACTTTTTGTCATATTTGCTTTATCAGTCTAGCTGCCCACCCATCCATTTCTCTGTTTTTTTATTGCTGAACCGTCCAAAAGGAGCAGACGTCTTGACATGTCAGCCCCTAACCCCTCAGCGTGCATCTCATAATAAGGACATTCTCCTATAGGACCGCAGGACATTGTCACATCTGAAAAAGTTACTGCCGCTTCCTCGAGAGCATCTAGTGTGCAGTCCAAATTCAAATTTTAGAACTTTTAAAACCTTCCCTTAGAAACAATTTAGAAGCGACACAGTAAATAACATCAGGTATGTTAACTTAAAAAAATTTTGAGACAAGGAAACATTGTAAAAATGTGAACATTACAGAATCACAGTATTTCTCAAAATGCGGTACCACCCCCACTTTGCATCTGCGAGATGATGTTAGGTGAGATATGGACAAACATTAAAAAAAAAATTTTAGATTTGATTTACCATTGTATAGGAAAAACTGTCACCAGCACAACACTCAACTCATGATTTCATGGATATCATTACCTACAATAAGGCTAAAAACTTGAGTTGATTTCAAGAAAAATATGAGACAAATAATACTTTACCTGGTTTATAGATATGGCCAGATTATAAACATGGCAGGCAAATGAGAGAAGTTTGGGGAAATACAGCAGAAGTCACAAAATGTAGATCGTTTTGGGCACAGAATGGCATCCCCCGCATAATTACCACCCTTGGGGCCCCGGACCTGACTCTGCATGGCTTTGTTTCTGAGGTGGTTGTTTGTTCATTCGACAAACATCACAGTTTGTTGGGCCCTGTTGTAGCTTCTTCAGGGAACAAAACTCAAAGCTCCCTGCCCTCAGGGTACTTTCTTGCTGTGGTGAGGACAGACAGACACACTCAGCGATGTGTCTGCTTGGGTCTTAAGCGTAGGCCTCAAGGGGACGACACCATGGGGAAAAGCAAACCTGAGCAGGCTGAGGGGAGCCAGGAGTTCCGAGTCAGGGGATTGGGAAATGGAGTGGCTCCTCGAGATGCCTCACTGAGGGGACGTTTGTGCAGGACGGTGGGAGCCGGGTGGCAGAGGGACTTTGCCTTGTGCTGAGCGGGAAGGCAGCCATTGGAGGGCTTTGAGCAGAGGAGTCAAATGCGTATGGAAAGAACATGCCCCAAGCTCCGAGGGGGAGGTGCCGAAGCCCTTTGAACCAGGCAGTTGCAGGGCCAGAGTTGTCCCTTCTCAGGCGGCCGTGTGGAAGGGAGCCGTGCTGACTTTCGGTCTGCAACTCCAGTGGTTTTGAAAATCTTTCCAGCCGCAGCCGTGTGTGGTGAGCCTGACCCTCAAACGGTCATGAACATGATCAGTATTTCTAGAGGTTACGACCTTCCTACCCACCGCTCAGCCCCGGGAGTGGTTAAGCTGTTAGTGACTGAAAACAGACCTGTTTCAACAGGCCGGCTTCTCTGGGCGGTGCTTGGGTGGGTGGGAGGAAGGTGCAGAAAGTCGGGAGGCAGCTCTTGAGAGACTGGAGGGGCTGGAGGGGCTGGAGGGGCTGGAGGGGCTGGAGCAGAGGCAGCCTGCGTGCCTGTCTGGGGAAGCCTTTCCCTTGGTGCTGCCGCCTTGGCTTCTGACCACAGGCTGAGGCCGTGGCGGATCTGCTCTGCCGCAGTCTTGCCCGAGCTGGTTGATGAACCTGAGGACAGGGAGGGGCCCCGGGGGAGTCAAGTTCCTTTTCTGGTCAGAACCTTTAAGTTTTCTTTTTGTCTGAGCAGGCGGCTCTTTGTCCTTGGGCACCTCAGCCCTTGGAGAGTTTTGAAACAACACTTTGGTTTCTTCCTTAAGAAACTCCAGTGTGGGGAGATGATTCCAGAACCACAGACAACTCCAAAGTTATTCTCCACTGGATTTTGAAATCCACTGTGCTATTTTCTCACTCCCTAAAGTGCAGCCTCATATTCCCAGTTATGTTTGTCTGAGCAGAACAAAATTAGAAGAACTATATCCCACGACCCAGCAGGTCCACTCCTAGCCATATACCCAGAAGAACTGAAAGCAGATATCCACACAAATACGCGCACGTGAATGCTGTCCACGCGTGCTCACAGCAGCAGTGCTCACAAGAGCCAGACTGTGGAGACACCCAAGTGTCCGTCAGCTGATGAATGGATAGTCAAAATGTGGCACATCCACACAGTGGAGTATGTTTCAGCCGTAAAAAGGAATAAAGTACTGATCCGTGATGCCACGCAGATGAACCTTGAAAACGTTATGCTAAGTGAAAAAAAGCCAGTCACAAAAGGTCACGTGTTGTGTCATTCCGTTTATATGAAATGTCCAGAAAAGGCAAATCCGTTGCAACAGCACTCAGAGGAGTGGTGGCCAGGGGCTGGGGAGGAGTTACGGGGAGTGACTGCTAATGGGGTTTCTTTTGGGGGGATGAAAATGTTCTGGAACTAGATAGAGGCGATGGTTGCACACACAATATTGTAAATACTAAACGCCACTGAATTATACACTTTAAAATAGTTAATTTTATGTTACAAAAATTTCACCTCAATTTTCCAAAAATGCAAAAAACAAACAAAAACACCCCAGCAACAACAAAATACTGCATTCCCTGAACATAGTTTATCTACTACTTGGTGGGTGGGTTCCCCACACGCAGGGCTGGCAGGAAGCTGGCGGGCAGTGGGGCATGTGCGTGTTGGGTGGGCATGTGGGTCAAAAAGGGCCCTGTTTCAGAGGAATGGGACGAATTGTTCTTTGAGGCGATGAGGAAACCTCCAGCCCCGCCTCTAGGTCCAAGTCTTATTTTGGATTGAGAGTCACAGGAAAGTGTCTGAGGGCCAGCTGACCACAGAGCATTGAGGAGTTGTAACAAAATTATCCAACCTTTCTTGGTCTGTAGCCTGACACCTCCTGGCAGCTTGGAGAATGCGGGAGGCATTGTCAAAACCTGTTCTTGCTGTTTCTTGAATTGCAACTTCCCTAGGATTCCGAAGACCGCTAGGGCTACTTTGTCCCTAAGTAAGATGATGTTTGGGTTGTGTCCCCTTAGACCTGTCCTTTGGCATAAGATGGCTCAGGAGCTAGGTGTGACTAAGAGGACATAGGTGAGCATCAGTCACATCCCTGGCACCTCCAAGGTATGAGTGGAGAGATGAAAGGAGCCCATGAGCTTTCCCGCCTGTCTGTCTCCCTGCTTTGTTTTCTCTGGCCAGATGGGCCTCAGCTGTTTTAAGGACCAGAAGTACGGCTGGGCTAGGATCCCAGGGACACCGGAAATCTCTGACCCCTAGCCTCGTGATAGGAACTTAGAAAAGCAGGACCGTGAGCGGCTTTGGTTTGGTGGGCTGTTCCTCGCCCCAGCCCAGTCCCAATTTTAGTTTCTGTGCTTCCCGGTATTCCTAGGGGTGGTCGTGAGGTGGGGCGGATCAGGAGGAAGACAGATTTCCCAGTGTAACCATTTACCCCCTTCTCTTCCCTGCAGTGTTTGAACTGGTCAACCAAGGGTGAGTGTCCCAGCTTCCGGTGGGCGTGATGCCCAAGGCTTCTAGAGCTGCAAAGCCAAGCCAGGCGGCACTGGGCTCTGCTGGCGAGAGAGGGCAAAGGCCGGTGTGTCTGGTTTGCTTTTCATACCTGTGTCGACCTTTCAGGCCTGTGATGGAGGTGCCCACCCTCAAACCGCTGTCTGAGGACCAGGCCCGTTTCTACTTCCAGGATCTGATCAAAGGCATCGAGTACTGTGAGCGGGGCCTGTGGGAGGACTTGTGCCCCGGGGGGTTAGCATTCCCTGGTAGTGGGTGGAAAGTTTCTCATTTTCCTCCTGGAGCTCAAGAAGGTGGGAGGGAAACAGAATTGTCTGAGATGCAGAGTCACGGACAGCCGCAGAGAGCCCTGCTGGGGCCGCCGTGCCCCTGGTGAGCAGAAACCCTTCTTCCGGCCACACACAAAAATGAAAAGCAATAACTATAGTGACTAATTATCCAGCATTTTCTATGTGTACCAGGCACTGACAGGCGCTTTATTTGCATTGTCCCTTATTCCTCCCAGCAGCCCTGAGAGGGGATCTTGTTAACCTCCTGGAACCTTAGTTTCCTCTCCTGTAAAGTGGGAATAAAGAATCTGTCACCAGGGCTGAGATCAGCTGCTGCCCATCGGTAGTTCTGACTGGCGGGTGTCCTTTCTTCTGCTGGTTGTTAAGCATCTTGACTCTTACCCTTGCCGATCACATCGGATTGTTGTGAGATTTAAATGGGAAGCACTTAACACAGGGCCTAGGGCCCAGGACTGGACACTCAGCAATGGGCGCTACTCCTCATCTCCATCATCATCCTCATCATCACCACGGGAATGCAGTTGGGTCTTCCACACCATAGGATTGTCCCCTGCCATGGCCTGACATCTGGGCAGAAGAGTTAGCCAAGTCCCCAGTCCTGCTGTGTGGGTCACACTTCACGTCAGCCTGCTCCAGTCCTTGTTGGTTTGGTGAACAGGTTGAGGGTTGGCATTAGTAAGTGAAAATATGTTTGACTGTCACAAGTCTTGAGGCTTCTAGCTGGGAGCCAAGCTTAACGAGAACTCTCTATACACTGTCACACCTACTGTAGCAGGCGGTTACTAATTGCTATTGGCGTTTGATTTTTCACTCCTCTTTTTTTTTTTTTTGTGAGGAATATTGGCCCTGAGCTAACATCTGTGCCAATCTTCCTCTATTTTTGATGTGGGACACCGCCACAGCATGGCTTGATGAGCAGTGTGTGGGTCCATACCCAGGATCCGAACCCGTAAACTCTGGGCCTAAGTGGAGCACACTAACTTAACCACTATGCCACCAGGCTGGCCCCTTACTCATTTTTGAAGACTGGAGAACTTCCTTAAAGACACTCTTTTCCCCTCATCCTTCAGAGCTGTGGGTGTTCCGTGGGTTTGGGAAGGGAGGGCTGGGAAGGGCCTGGGCTGTGGGAGAACAGTATGGTCCATGCTTGTGTCTCCGGGCTGTGCGGGCCATGTGGAGCTCCTCACATGGTCTTCCTGTCCCCTCTCTCCCATCTGGTGTCTACCCCACCCCCAGTGCACTACCAGAAGATCATCCACCGAGACATCAAACCTTCCAACCTGCTGGTTGGAGAAGATGGGCACATCAAGATTGCCGACTTTGGTGTGAGCAATGAGTTCAAGGGCAGCGACGCGCTCCTCTCTAACACTGTGGGCACGCCCGCCTTCATGGCACCCGAGTCGCTCTCGGAGACCCGCAAGATCTTCTCTGGGAAGGTGGGTTTGGACCTGCCTGAGGTGCTGAGTTCTGTGCCTGTGTTAAGGTCCTTTTAGTTGAAAGCAGCAAAAGTCCAGTTTAGACAGGCTTAAACAGTAAATCCATTGGATCGTGTACATCAGGAGTGGGGCACCTTTGGCTTCAGGCTTGGCTAGGTACAGGGATTCAAATAGGAGTCTGTCTTTCCATCCCTCAGCTATTTTCCTGAATTGGTTTCCTCCCCAAGGGAGGATGGGTTGTGTGCCCATCCTGAACCAATCACTGTGACTGGGGGAAGTCGTGCTCTCAGTGGCCAGGTCTGGGTCATGTGCCCATCCTTGAACCGATCACTGTGGCTGGGGGAAGTGGTGCTCTCAGTGGCTGGGTCTGGGTCACGTGCCCACCCAGAGGCCAAGGGGCAGGATCAGCCCCACCCCAACTCTATAAACCAAGAGTCAAAAAGAGGTGGTTCCCCAAAGGATAGCTGGAGGATTGGTTGCTGGACAGGCAAAAACAGTAGAAGCCCTTCACTGCCCTGTGTCCCCTCACGTGAAGCTCTCTTTTTCTTGCAGGCCTTGGATGTTTGGGCCATGGGTGTGACGCTGTACTGCTTTGTGTTTGGCCAGGTAACAGGGTGGGCTGTCCTGTCTCCTGAGTGATGCTGGGTGGTCCCCTTGGATTAATAGTTACCCTTGCAGGGAGACAGTATTTATTCATTTAAAAGTCATATCATTTTATTTCCACAGCTAGATCTGAATATGAAAAAGGGTGCCTTCCCAAATGTATATATCTGTATATGGTAGTCATATCTGTGAAAAAATGCTGTGATAAAACAGAAGGATTGACAGAGGCTCAAAAAGGTTATAAATAGTTGATGCATTTAAGGCAAGGACAGCAAATGTGCCACCTCTTCCCACTCCTAACTCCAAGACAGACATCACTAATCAATAACTGCACTCTTTCCTCTTGAGCCCAATACTGCTTTGATGTTCTCGCCGGAGCGTTCCTAGAAGCTGTTGCTGGAGGGATGGAATTGGAATGCAAGTTAAAGTCCATGTGGCGTTATTGATTTAGGGGTGCCGTTTCGTCTTTTCTTAATTGTTGTTCTTTTGTTGTTGTTTTTATATTATCGATATTTAGGGGCTTCTATTTTTAACTCTGAAGTTCTGATTGATTATGCGAGCAATAAGAGCATGAATTTTTCCTCTTCATGAGCTTGTGCTCCTCTTAGCGAAAACTTAAGAAACTGGTCCTGTGAGGCAGTAAAGGAGTTTATAATCTCCTCCCCCACAATGTTTGATTAGGACATTTTCACTCATATAGCAAAGCTGAAAGAATTATACAAAAAACACCCATGCAGCAACCACCTGGATTCTACCGTAAATGTTTCACTGTACTTGCGTTATCACATGTCCATCCATCCTCGATCTGTCTTATTTTGTTACACGTTTCAGAGTGAGTTGCCGACACTGCTACACTTCCTTCCAAATGCTTCAGAATGCGGTCATTAGTTAGTTACAGCTCACTATTTGTTTATGGTTCTTTTTTTTTCTTTTGGGGTGGAATTTACATAAAATGAAATGCCCAGATCTTCAGTGACTATTTAGTGAGCTCTGTCAGTTGGATCCACCTGGGCAATCCAGACTCCCATCTCAAGTTACTGCTCTCATTGAAACCATTTTCTTTGGACAGGAGTGGACCAGGTCACTTTCTGCGACCTTTTCCAACCTTCTGAGCACCCCACATAAAGATTCTTTTTTCCGGCACAATACCTGAGCTCCTCCTGGTCAGGCTCTCTGCTGGGCGAGAGCATCACTTTGTCACCTGGGAGGTGGCTTCAGAGTCAGCCTAGTCTAGGCTCAAATCCCATCTTTGCACTTCCCGGTACACATCACCTGTCTTAGCTTCTGTTTCTCTCTTCCGTAAAAGGAGAAGAATACTTAATTATCTCTTACGGCTTCTGAGAAGATCGACAGAAATAATTCAAACATTCATTAATTCCACAAGTATTTATCAAGCCCCTCCTATGTGCCAGGGATGCTCCTGGCTCTGGGGAGTCAGCAGTGAGCAAGACGGACGAAAATCCCTGCCCTCTTGGGGCTGACCTTCCAGTGCAGGAGTTAAACAGTGAACAAATGCACGTGTAACATAACGTCAAGAATTGGTGCTCCGAGGAGAAGTCACAGGGTGGTGGGAGGGACTGTCTGTCTGAGACAGAAGCTCAGGAAGGCCTCCCTGAGAAGCTGGGCTGTGATCAGACACCTCAATGATATTGTGCAGATGCTGGTGGGAAGAACATTCCGGGCAGAGGGACCAGCCAATGAAATGTTGGTCCTGAGCGACCTCAGTCCAGGGCCTAGCCCAGGCTCGGTCCTCACGAATCATCGCTGTTGCCACTGTGTCTTTTGTGTTGTTCTTAGCGTTATTGTTGTTCACCTGACAGGTGAGCGAGGAAGAGTGCTCGCTTTCGTATAAGCAGATAAATTACAGCACAGCTACAGAGGAAGGCTGCTGTGTGTTTGAGAAGGGCTCTAGCCCTTCTAGAAGGACGTGCCTGGGCCTTCTAGAACTTAGGAGGATGGGAACTGCTTCCTCCCTAGACCAGGCCCCTGGGCTGTTTATTTCTCGGCTGTAACCCATGCAGAGTGACACCAGCACAGGGCCGCCCTTGCAGGACGCGTGTGTCAGCCGCTGACAGCCATCTGTCCTTGACCTCTCTCTGCAGTGCCCGTTCATGGACGAGCGGATCATGTGTTTACACAGTAAGATCAAGAGTCAGGCCCTGGAATTTCCAGATCAGTGAGTATCGCCTGTCTATCCCAAGGCACCTCCCTCTCCAAGCCCTCGGTGGTCCTGTGTATGTCTCCCACCCCTGATGTGTCTCCTACCCCCAGGCCCGACATAGCTGAGGACTTGAAGGACTTGATCACCCGCATGTTGGACAAGAACCCTGAGTCCAGGATTGTGGTGCCGGAGATCAAGGTACCTGGGGGTCACCACTGCCCCATGGGGCGTGCACCAGGGGCTCAGCCTGCATCCTCTGCTTGGAATTGTTTGGCTCAACCCTGCCTTGGCCAGGCCCCACACCCCTCCGCCCACAGTGCTGTGCCCTTCTTGGCACCACTGCCCTCCCATGCCCTGGGGCCTCTGGGCTGCTGGGGCTGCTGGGGGGCTTGGAGGAGGATTTAGGACTTGTGTTCACTCTGGTTGTAGAAGTGGGATCTGTTGCCAGCCAGGCAGCCCACACTCACTCGGATTGGCTTGGGCTGATGCATCCACCCTCCCTGGACCAGACCAGACTGGGGCCTCTGTGTGCTCCACGGCCTGGCTGCTGAAGTCCTGGGTCCTTTCCTTGACCCTGCCTGTCCCTTTGAGAGATTGTAATGAAGGTGGGAGGAAGTTAGTGCACAGTTTGACCCCCTCCCACTCCAGCCTGCTGAATTCCACCTAGTTGCAGAAAGCACTGTTAGGAGAGACCCTCGTCCACCGCCATACCCCACCAGTGCCACACTGCCAATGCCACATGCACACATCTGGCCCTTTAAGAAACCTAGAGATTTGCTGTGGGAGCTCCTAGGCACCTAGATAACTAGCATTTGAAGAGGCAGCAGCCCCAAAGGTTACAAATAAGGAGTGGGTAGTGGGGGACAGACCCCTGCTGGGTCTTCTCCTGATTGTCCTTCTGACTGGTCAAACTGAGCCTCCAATTCCCCTTCTGTGGAATGGCGAGGATGCCGCCTGCTCTGAGCTGAGCCTTCTGGGCATCAGGGAGAGTTGCTGAGGAGTGATGGGTGCTCCTCAGGCAACCGTGTGAGGCAGATGCCAAATTCCAGTTACTTCTGCCAAGACCGGGAGCCAGATGGAGAATCCGGTCCAGTGTACATCCCGGCCTTGTAGCTCCCTCCCATTCTCTGTCTCTCGGCCTTTTCCACGTTTCCTCCCATCTTGCTCACCCCTACCCTCTCCTGGCTTGCCAGCTCTCTTGCATGCCTGACCTCAGGTCACTGCCTCTCCCCTCCCGCATTCCCTCCCTGGCTCTGCTCGCTGGCAGGGCCTTGGTGTTGCTCTCTGGCCTCTGAGAACCAGCTGTGCCCACCCCTCACCCCTCCTGTCATTCGTTGAAGCTGCACCCCTGGGTCACGAGGCACGGGGCGGAGCCGTTGCCATCGGAGGACGAGAACTGCACGCTGGTCGAAGTGACTGAAGAGGAGGTCGAGAATTCGGTCAAACACATTCCCAGCCTGGCAACCGTGGTAAGGCGGGACGAACCGCTGGCCGAGATAGAGCTGAGCTCAGCCTGGCGAGGACAGGCTGGGACCCAGGCGGGTGTCTCAGAAGCAGACATTGGGCCTGAGAGTCAGAGGATGGCTGGGTCTGCCCCTAACCCATAGCCACCAGCCTCTGGGCCTTGGTCACACATCCGGCCAGGTTGCCCCTGCATCTTCCAGCTTTATTTCTGTCTACAGCCAGGTCCCATGTTACCGTAGAGAGGGCTGGTCCCTCTCTAAGGATCCCATTGCCTCTTTTGGAATCCCTGCTTTCAGAGCATGTCACGGGGAGCAAGGGGCGGAGAAGGACCAGGGCAGCTGCCAGGGATGGGAGCTGGAGCCAAGGTCTCTACCATGGGATTCCCACCTGGCTGGATCTTAGTCTCCAGAGAGGACGGCTTAGCTCGTCTCACATCTGCCATGTGGGCAGCTTCCAGGGCTAGGGGCAGGGGCTCCCACTTCACATGCCTCAGAAAGTTCTTCCTGACACCTGAGGGTGAGAGTTTGCTCAGGAGCCACCAGGCCCCCTTCTGTGGCCTTACATTTGGGTCCTGACCCCAGAAGAAGGAGCCAGAATGTGGAGTCCCCAGGCCTAACCTCGGAGACTCTGGGAATCACCCAATTGCCAAGCCTCTGCCCAAAAGAGTATCTGGTTCAAGGAGGGAAACCAGGACCCTCAGGGGCCCAGGCTCCAGGCAGCAGTCTGAGGGGCAGAATCCAGCTGGCCGCCCCACCATAAGCACCTGTAAAGCCCCAGGGTGCATTAGGCCAGCCCCAGCACTAGCAGACAGGCAGGGCCTGACTCTGGGAGGGGATCAGTGGGACTGTCTACAAAGGCACAGTGTCCGGCCTCGAGTGACTGCCCTTTTAGGAGCCCAAATGCTGGCTCCTTCTCCCCCAGCTTTGCACTTCTCCCTCCTGCTTCCCCACATACCTTCTCTCCTCCTTCCAAACCCTGAGCCCCGGGGTGGGGCATCCATTTACATCTTCCTCCTCCTCCCCGACCTGGGGCCTCTGCATGACCTTCTCTATTAAAAACTCACCCGCACCAATTCACTCTTTCTCATCCACCAACTGCACCCATGTCCTGTGTCTACCATGGGGGCAGCTGGCGTTGGACCCTGGTGCCCACCATGGGTTATTCTGTTCCAGGCTGGATATGTTCTTGGGAGAAGGCAATTGACCCTAGAGGTCGGTATTAATCATTGATTATTCAGGAAGCACTTCTTGAACACTGAGTGGTTTCTGAGGCCTGTGCTGGGAGCAGGGGGTCCAGTGATGAATAAAACCAACGTGGCACCTGCTATCCTGGAGAGGCAGATGCTGGGCAAACAGCCAACAAATAAATGTACAGTATAACGGGCTGCGAGGTGTACCCCGGCCCTAAAGGAGGGGCGCGGCCCAGGTGAGGGGTTGGAGAAGGCTTCCTGGAAGAGGTGGACGTGCACTGAGAGGATGGCAGGGTGTTAACCGGGCCGAGAGAGAGTGGAGGGCGGAGGGTGTTCCCGGCAGAAGGAACAGCACCTGCAGTGATGCTCTGGTGGGAGGGAGCTAGGCCAACACGAAGCCTCGAGGAAGCCAGGGCCACTAAAGCAGAGCAAGGAAGGAGGAGGGAGGGTGGCATGAGGCTGGGCAGGAGGTGGGGCAGTGGCAAACATTTAAATCTTGGTCCCAAGAGGTGTGGGAAGCACCTGCAGGGTTTGAATTGGGGCAGCAGCACGGTCAGAGTTGGCTTTGGAAAGATCCCACAGGGAGGATGGACTGTGGGGGCCAGGAGGAAAGCAGGGGCTACTGCAGCCATCTGGGGGGGGACGGGGCTGGAATAGGGAGGTCCAGGCCCACTCCTGACACCCAACATGCACTGGGCACAGGGTTACAGAGATGAACTAGGTACAGCGCCAGCTCTCATGGGGCTCCAGCCTCATAAGAAAGATGGACTCAGAAAGAATCACCCTCTTGTGCCATCACACGGCGACAGGCCAGCGCAGAGAGGAGTAAGAGTGGAGGCTTCACAGAGGAGGAGCTCCTTCCGCTGGGTCCTGAGGGCTGGAAAGTGTTGTCTGGCTTGACAAGGCCCCAGGGGAGGGGCAGGGCAGTCTCCTGAGGGAGAGCGACACCTGCAAAGGCCCACAGGCAAGGGGCTGGTGTGTTCCAGGAACCCGGAGCACGGGCCTTGCATCATTCTCTAAGTCAGTGTTTTTCTTTTCCTTCTTTTTTATTGAGATAGAATTCATGTAACATAAAATTAACCATTTTAAAGTGAACAATAAAGTGGCACTTATTACCTTTACAATGTTGTACAACCATCATCTCTGTCGTTCTGAAACATTTTCATCCCCCCAAAAGAAACCCTGTATCCATTAGTAGTCACACTCCATTCCCTGACCACCCCCACCACCTCCACCCCAGCAACCACCAATCTGCTCTCTGTCTCTCTGGATTTGCCTGTTCTGGACATTTCACATCAATGGAATGGTATAGGATGTGGCCTTTGTGGCCGGCTTCTTTCATTTAACATCATATTTCTGAGGTTCATCCATGGTGTAGCATGTCATTCCTTTTTATGGCTGAATATTATTCCATTGTATGGATAGACGACATTTTGTTTATCTAGTCTGCAATTGATGGACATTTGGGTGTTTCCACCTTTTGATAAATCAGTTTTTTTTTAAACACTTTTCTTCTTAGCAGCACACCCTTAAAAAAAAAATTCAGAAGCTCAGTTAGTACATGAAACAGCTTGAAGAGGCACCACACTCTGCTCGAAGTGGGTGGGAGCCCAAGTTTGGCTTCTCAGTGACTCTTTCTCAGGTGTTGAGACCATTTCTTTGAAAATTCCTTCCCAAGATACAGCAGCCAAAAGCACTCCCATGCTCTAGAACCTTCCATGGCTCCCTAGCTGGCAAGAGGATAAGTTCCAAACTCCTATGAGTAAAGGATTTTTGAGTCATAGAGGGAGTGGAGTCTGGGTTTCCGAAACCGGCCTTGTCCACTGCCAGGGGTGGGAACTCTCTGTTGCCCACCCCACCCCTGGGGTGGATTGAGGGGGTGAGGCAGGGAGAGAAGCTGAGCAGTGGCTGAGGAATGTGGTCATGGATATTACCTTTCCCGAAGGATCCTCTCCTCAGGCAGGTGTTTCCCAACCAAGCTGCGGACCTGGTCTTTGTTAGAGTGGGTGGGGGGGTGGGCAACAGAGAGTTCCCACCCCCGGCAGTGGACAAGGCCGGCCCCCAGGGTCTCTCAGACCTAGAATGACCTTCAGGACCTCTGAGCTCCCTTGCCCTCACACCACCCCAGCCTGTGGACTGGCCATCCTCAGTGTCCTGGGATGTTTCCTCTGCTCCTTAGACTTGGACATGTGTTCCCCTCCTCCATCGAAATGCAGCCCCCTGAGAAACTGGTACCCTTGTATGTTGCTTGTGGGAATGTAAAATGGTTCAGCCACTGTAGGAAACAATCTAGCAGCTCCTTAAAATGTTAAACATAGAGTTAACAATATGATCCAGAAATTCCACTCCTGGGTATATACCCGAGAGAAATGAAAACATTTTGTGTGGAAAACGTACATCCACGTAAAAACTTACACACGTGTTCATAGCAGCATTATTCATAATAGCGAAAAAGTGGAAACAACCCAAATATTCACCAGTGGATGAATGGGTAAACAAAATGTGGTATATCCATACAAAGGAATATTATTCAGCCGTGAAAAGAAATGAAGTACTGATACAACATGGACAAACTTTGAAAACATTATGCTGAGTGAAAGAAGCCAGACAAAAGATCGCATACTATGTGATTCCATTTATATGAAATGTCCAGAATAGACAAATCCACAGAGATAGAAGGCAGATTGGTGATTGCCAGGGGCTGAGGGGAGGGAGAATGGGGAATGACTGTTAATGGGTACCAGCTTTCTTTTTGGGGTGATGTAAGTGTTCTGAAATTAGATAGTGGTGATGTGAATATACTAAGAGTCATTGAATTGTACACTTTAAAATGGTGAATTTTATGCTATATGAATTATATTTCGATAAAAAATGTGTAGCTCCCCCCTCTCCCCAGTTATACCTGGGAAGCAATAATTAGTTTCTTGTTGGGGTGGCCGTAGATGGCTTTCATTGAAAATAAAGGCCTGGGCTTGAAGACAAGACAGGTTGATGGGCCAGGAGGACATGTCTCAGAGGAGACAGATGGTACCAGGTGTGCTTAAGGGAGAGTACAGGCCAGCTCTCCTGGAGCACAGGGTCCCTTGGTGTCAGATAGGCTGAAACTAGATTATGACAGGCCTTGAATGTCAGACGAAGGAGTTTAGTCTTGTCTTGTTGGCAGTCAGGGAGCCATGGAGGGTTTGGGAGCAAAGGAACAGACCAGTCAGACTTGGTGATGGCTTCGGCTGCTGTATCCCGGGTGGGAAGGATGCTGTCCAGTGTCTCTCAAAGACCTGCCATCAGCCACAAGTCCTGGGAGCTGGCAGGGGCTGGGGGGAGAGGAAGAAGGAGATGGTACAAGGGAGGACGTTGCCCGGAATGTCCCCCAGGTGGCCGAGCCTCCTCTTCTCTCCTTCAGATCCTGGTGAAGACCATGATACGAAAACGCTCCTTTGGGAACCCGTTTGAGGGCAGCCGGCGGGAGGAGCGCTCGTTGTCAGCACCTGGGAACCTGCTCACGTGAGTGTCCACCTGCCTTCTTCCTGGCCGGGAGCTGGAGGCTGCCTACAGGGCAGCCCTGCCTAGCCCACCCTGCCTGGGCCCATCCCTGGAGCGGTACCGTCTGGGAAGTCTCAGACCAGACCCGCCGGGCACACTGGGAAAATCAGAGCAGCTGCTGGCTTTGGTTTTGCCCCACCCTGTGCGCAGCATGCCTCCTTTTGCTGACAGCTAATCCACACTGAAGGTTTACCTTTCTCAGGGGATTTGCACTTTAACTGGGAGGGCTCTTGACAACCACAGAGCGCTTTTGTGGTACAGAAGCATGCGTGCTCGATAGTGGAATTTTCAGCCCTGTGATGGGTGAGCAAGGCCAGTCTCACTCCCAGGACCCTACGTGTCACAGCAGAGAGGTGTTCTCCTCATTATTTCCCTGGCAACAGCTCTGTGAAGCTGGTGTTTGGGGTCTGAGTGTCTCTGGGGTGGGGGACAGGCATCCCATGGATCCCATGTGTCCCTTCTCACTTCCCTTTTCCCTCCCCTCTGGCCATTCCAGCAAAAAACCAACCAGGGAATGTGAGCCCCTGTCTGAGCCCAAGGTAACGCCTGCCTGCCTGCATAGCCTCTGCTGGGGCCTGGGGGCGGGGGCAGCTGCAGAGCACGGGGCATCCCCACCCAGGCGGAGGTTCCTTCCAGCCTGTGCTGCTGTGCCCAGGCTCTTGGGCCTCTGGACCCAGGGTGAAAATGAGGGGCATCTAGGGGCTTGGACCCAATGGCGGGTCGTGCATGTGGGCTGGGGCTGCGGGTGCATGGCGCTCCACCTGGAATGCCTGTGAATTCACCCAGGTCCTATGGCCCAGTCTGGCACCCACATATGCTCCGTGCACGTCAGTGGCCTTGAAGCTCTGTCACAGGGCCCCGTGGCTGTCCCTGCTCTGGGTCCGCGTGGTCAGAGCATAGATCAGGCATGCTGCACTTGGTGGCTCTCCCCTGGGCTCTACCCTACCCAGCATCTACCCTTTCTTCTCTGATGGATTAAGACCTAGAAAATAAGTCCCCTTCCAGCCTCTGTCCCTGCGGAGGATCTGGACCTTTTCCTTGAGACCACCCCTCTTTCAAACATATACCCAGGTCAGTGTTACCAGCACCTCCCAGGACAGATGAGAATTTTTGTCACTATAAGACCAAGATGACAAATACTTGGCACCCCTGTGCCACTCATCACCCCAGTGCCTGTGGCAGAGTGGAAATGCCAGTACTCTTCCCACTGAGCCCGACCTACCACGTCTTCCTCAACTGGGAGCTCCAGGGAGCTTTTTCTATGTGTTAGGAGCAGCTTTATTGAGAGATAATTCACATACCATACATTTCACCCATTTGGAGTGTATAATTCATTGGTTTTTAATATATTCACAGAGTTGTGCAACCATCACCACAATCAGTTGCAGTACGTTTTCATTAGCCTGAGAAGAAACCCTGCACCCTTAGCTATCACCACCAATCCCCTATTCCTGGAAATCACTAATCTACTTTCAGTTTCTATAGATTTGCCTATTCTGGACATTTCATATGAATGGAATCATACACTGTATGACCTTTTGTGTCTGGCTTCTTTCACTCAGTGTCATGTTTTCAAGGTTCGTCCATGGTATAGCATGTGTCAGTGCTTCTTTTCTTTTTATGGCTGAGCTATATTCCATTGTATGGATAGACCACTTTTTCTTCATCCATCCATCAGGTGATGGACGTCGTTTCTACTTTTTGGCTATCATGAACAAATAATGCTGCTGTGAACATTTGTGTGCAAGCGGCAGCCATTTCTATTTGTTAGGAGTTGGCTTATGAGATGAAATTTACTGGCCACCCATATGTAGGAATCAAGGGCATATATGGTAATGTAGGAGGAACACTTGTTTGGGGGTTATTTATGCTTTTCTGGAGCAGAGAAAGCAGCAATTAGCAATCAGAGCCAGTCCACAGCTGGAGAAGCCTGCCGGGTTGTTCCCAGATCCACTGCAGCCAGGTGACGGGGTGGCCCCACCTAGCATTTGAGTCTCACAGGGTGACAGGTAGTGGAAGCCTAATGGGCTGGCCTTTGCTCCACCTTTCTCATCTCAATCTCAAGTTTTAGGGTTTGTCTCCTGTCTGTGTGCAAGTCTGTCGTTTGTTTCTTTTCTTATTTTCAATGAGATCAAAATTGCAAGACACTGACAGACTGAGATTGGGCCAGAGGGCTTTTATTGCCCCTTTATTCCCTCACCTGTAGTCCCAGCAACGCCTGAGGGTTCCTGCACTTCCTTTAGCCTGCACGTGAGATGCTCTGGTTGTCCAAATGGTCCAGCACTTGGGAGCTCATGGGGCTTGTTTAGTCGCAGGTCTTGAGTCCACGGCTCGCCAGCTGTCTGCTGTGAGAGCCAGCTGGTACGAGCAGGCAGCTGCTAGGGCAGAAATCGAGGGCCTGATTCCACATCTAGTTACAGCTGTCGTCCCTGGGAGATTTGACGCCCCTTGTTCTTTGGCAGAAACATAAAAAGCCAATGAGCTAGTGATTTTTAAACAGAGGGATTTCTTCCTAGGAATGTACAGACATGGTGCTTTCTCTTCCTTTGTGTAGGTGAGTTTTCCTTATGGACATGAGTCCTCTGTGGCAACCCCAGTGGCTTCCCTTAGAAGGGGCAATCTTTGCTTGATGGTGGCAAGGGGTTTGGACCTTTCCTCTCTCATCACTCTCCCTCACATCTCCCATCACTCTGCCTATGTCTGTCACCTCAGGCAGCTCTAGCTGGGGGTGCTTCAGGATATGGCCTCTCGGGGACACAAGGACACTTCCTCCCACTTCCTCAGTCTCTTCTGCTCTGATCACTCACATGGCCAAGAGGAGGGCCCTTCTCTCTGTGCGAGGTGTCCCTTGGGCCTGTGTGCTGGGGCCAGTTCTGTTAACAACCGTTTCTGGAAGGCTATGTGCCAGACCAAGCCCAGGTGGTCCTGCTCGTTGCCCCCAAGAAGCTCACCTTCAGGTGACTGAAGAATCTTCAGTCTCAGCCTATAGTTCTTTCCATTTTTGGCAAATGATGCTGGTTTTCCATTTACAGAGGGGCTACAAAGTCTCCTTTGAAACTTTTGTATAAGCAAGAAAAAAGGGGAAAGAATCTAGAAGAAGTGGTTAAGTAAATAACGTCCCAGGCAGTGCGGGAACGGGAGACGCTGGTTCAGGCTGTGCCCGCATGGCCCCGGTCTTAATGCTGGTTTTCTGTTCGGCGAGCAGGAAGCAAGGCAGCGAAGACAGCCTCCGGGGCCCCGACCCGCCCCCCGTGGGGGAGGAGGAAGTGCTCTTGTGAAAGGCGGTCCCCGCGTGGAGAGCTGGGGGGCCCCGGCCCCGGGCTCCCGCGCACGCATGCCTCCTCTGCGGCCCGACGAGGCGATGGACTAGCTGCCCGACCGCGCGACCTCGCATGCAGGCGGCTCACCTGCCCCCCTGCGTTTCCATAGCAGCATGTCCTACGGAAACCGAGCACGTGTGGAGAGCCTTGACCGTCATCTATGGTTTTTTTTTCCTTTGTTGTTTTAAAGGGGACGAAAAAAAAAAAACTTGACTCCATGACGTCGACCTTGGCCGCTGGCTGGCTGAATAGGCGGGTGTGAGGAGTTGGCAGACCCAAACCTACGTGCATTTTGGGACAGTTGCTTTTTAAAAACGTTTTTATGCCAAAAATCCTTCATTGTGAACTCAGAACCATGTCGGATATACCAAGTGAATGTGTGTGGGGTTTGAAAATCGTGAAAAACTGGCAGAAAACTCCGGCGACGTGGTCTGAGACCACAGTTAGTTACTGCATTTGAAAGGGACAGAAAGAGAGTGACTCCTCGTGCAAACCCTAAACCTTAGCACCTTCCAGAACCGTGGACTCAAGGAGTCGGGAGAGGGTTAGCCCTCAGTAGCTGCAGGGAGCTTCAACACAACTTATTCGTAAGAAAGACTTTTCCATTTTTTTTATGGGTAGAGTTGTTGTCAGGAAAACGGAAAGGGCTTGAAGTTTAATCGCTTCGCAAAGGGGTTTTGCAACCCTAGAAGGGCATTTAGTGGTTTGGTGGGAGAAGTTTCGCCTAAAGGACCGATCGGGTTTCTTAATGACAGCCGCTCAAAGCCGGTTTCTGAAATAGTTAAATCTCTTGTTCAGTGAGAAAAACTTCAGGGTGAAATCCTACACTTCCATGTACATTACATGGCTCAAGAGTAAACAAAAAAACCATTTTCAGTTCTCTAGGCTGAACTCTAGAGGGGTTCAGAAATCATTTAGAGCTTCCAGGATATATTCCACGGCTTCAGGTATGTGATTGGAGTTAGAGCCAATGAAATCTATGCCTGTATATTAGCAGCTTAGCTTGTTTATAACCTGTGTATTCTAGAGACTGCTAAGGTTTGTGTTCTTCTTAAATACTAGCTGATTGTTGTAGTCAGTGAAACTTACCCAGTTTCTGGAGGGCCAGTTTGGAAATACTTTCATTCAACAGAGACAGAAATGCTTGTCCTTAACTGGCAAAGCTCTGTTAGGATCTACAGAGTAACTTTGGGGCAACTCCCCCCTTTTTTTTTTTAAAGATTGGCACCTGAGCTAACATCTGTTGCCAATCTTCCTTTTCTTTTCTTCTTCTTCTTCTTCTCCTCCCCATAAGCGCCCCAGTACGTAGTTGGATATTCTAGTTGTAGGTCCCTCTGGTTGTGCTGTGTGGGACGCCACCTCAGCACGGCCTGACGAGCGGTGCCATGTCCACGCCTAGGATCTGAATCAGTGAAACCCTGGGCCGCCAAAGCAGAGTGCACAAACCCAACCACTTGGCCACGGGGCCAATGGGACACCCTTTTAGAGAAGATTGTTGGAACCCAGAGCATCCTCAGGTTCCAGAAGAACTAGGGTCTGGCACAGGAAGTTCTCCTTTGTGGCCGAAAGTCCAGAAAGAAAAGGTTTACCCTTTTGACTTCCAACTAGTATTGAGAAGTTTGGTTGCAGTTCAAGTGGGACATCTTCCAGAGCCACACGCGTGTGAACGTGAAGTTCAAGGAGGAGGAAAATGGGACGGACTTTGCCCCGGGAGATTCCCAGTGCTTTTTGGAGTCTGGCTTGGGGGAAATAGTGTTGGTAACTGGGCTCAGAAGGACATGCTGTCCTATAGTTTCGCCTGATTAGCGTTGATCTGAGGACTTTTTGCAGAGAGAGAGAGAAGCAAGGCCTTGTGCCCCCCTGCTCGGCACTTTCACAGAGCCTGAGCGTTCTTGGCTTCCACAGATCTTCATAAGCTCTTGACTGTCGTTTACCTAGCCTTTTCTCACTATCCTATAAACAGTACAGAATTAGGGAATGCTGGTTTCCAAGAGCAGAGGACATCTGTCTGATGGAGGGTCATGTGGCCTGCTCTCTTTCTTTTTGTAACCCAGTACTTCCTCTTGCCCTCCTGTGCTTGTTTACATTTATGGGTTCCACCCCTCTGGGAAGAGATGGGGTCTGGTTAGTTTGCAATAAGCACCTTGCAGTGGTTAAAGTCAATGGGTCTTTAGTCTTAGTCCCAGCCTGTCTGTGTGGACTCCAGCCTGGCTGAGTGGCTCACGTGGCTTGCCTGGGGAGGGCAGGCAGCATGTGGAGCTTTGGCAAAACAACTCGTGTTTACACTGCTGCATTGGACAACGCCATTTCTCCCACCACCAGACTCTCCGTGTAAGATTTCGTATGTGGAATGCCAGCGATCAGGCAGCACCCAGCTGCTTAGGTGGGTGGGTTAGGGGAGGCCCAAGTTCATAACATTTTTTTTTTTTTTTTTTACAAAGAAACACCAAAGAAAGCTATAGAAAGGAACTGCCACCCCCGAAGTATAAGCAGAGGGCTAAAATGTAAAGCATTAGAGCTACCACTCTCTTGGAGCACATACTGATTTTTTCAAAAGCCAGTTCTGTCAGGAAAGGGGAGCTGTCAGGAGCGGCTTTTCCAGGCGAGCAAAAAGGATGGCCATCAGTTTCTTCCGTCGCTGGCTCATCTGTGGGACCAATGTGGTGTAAGCAGCCTGTGGCTTGCACGAGTTCTCTACCCATCTTTCCTCCATCCTGTTCCAGTTCCCTCATCTATTCCGCAGCCTTGCCAGTGGCTGCTATAAAGCCTTATCTAGCCCCTTGTTGGCACTTGGGGCCAGAGAGGCCATGCCCCCACTGGTCTGGCCTTTCCCTTTGAGTTAGGGCTCCTGTCCTCAAAGCCTTTCTGAAACAAGGAGGCCAAAACCTGTGCATTTAGACACATAGGTCAACCTGTTGCTCTCACCCATCTTCCAAAAGGGAGCTTCATGTTACGGGGGGAAGAACCATGACCTCCACTTGCTTCCAAGGTGCTAGGGAAGGTTTCAAGGTTGTCGGTTCCCATCTTCTCTCCAGCTTTATGGGCCAAGTTTCGTGGGACTGCTGACTTTTCTATTCTGTGATTGATTTAATGCCGGATGCTTCTGTTTTATTCCTGATCCTTTCTACTATGCATTTTCCTTTTATCAGGTGTATAAAGTTAAATACTGTGTATTTATCACTTAAAAGTACATGAACTTAAGAGAAAAATAAGACTTTGGTGTTTTCCACAGATGTTTAAGCTTCTCTGTAAACTTGAAATAAACGGACAGCAAAATGGTGCAAAGCCTGGCCTCTTTGGGAGTTTTTGTTGGTCATTGTTTGAGTCAGTGCTCTGCAGGTGGTCTGTCCTTATGTCTGTTTTCCTTCCTTAGGCTGACAGCAAGATCAGGTGTCCAAGTCGGGGCTAGTGTCTTCAGCATTACATTATTCATCCCTAATTTAAGCATGTGCTAGTACCTCACTACTCAAAGTGTGGTCCCCAGATCCACAGCATCGGCATCACCTGGGGAATGGGTTAAAATGCAGATCCCCAGGCCCCGCTTAAACAAGATCCCCAGGTGACTCGTCTGCACGCTGAAGTTTGAGAAGCACTGCTCCAACAGGCAGGTCCTTGCGAGATTCTTCTGGTGGAGAGCAAACAGGTGAACAGCTACAGGAGCAGTTTTCATCACACATGGAACACATCCTACATGACATTTCACCCCATGAAGTAGGTATTAACCCCATTTTATGGATCATCACCTGTAAACTGAGACTCAGAAAAGTTACGTCAGTTGTCCAAGGGCTCTGAATTTGTCAGCAAATTCAGTGTTCTACAGAACCTTGATGGTTGCCGGTTTTCATGGCGTCTGGAAACTGTTTCAGAACTGATGCTTTCTCCAGACTAGAGGCTGGGGTCCCCTGAGCTCCATATGCGAATCCAGCCCATGCCATTGCTTTACTGGCTTTGCACTTCATTTTTCTGTTATCAAAGGACAGTGGATGAAGTCTGAAAGATTCCTGTTGTAATGCTGCAGAAATACAACATTGAGATACTGCCTTTTGAGAGTCAAGAGCAGGTGTTCTTATTCAAGGATCCACTGAGAATCTGATGACAGCTACAAGAAATGCACACAGGTGCATCACTTTGCAGAGTTTTAGGGGTTTTGGAGCCTCCTGGAAGCCCATCCATGGACGCAAGGTTGAAGGACCCCTCCTTAGGAGGCAGCACCAGGCAGTGCCAACCAGTGGGGATGGAGCTGAATGCAAGATGACTCTGGTGAGTAAAATAAGCAGTGCCACCCCCAGCCCCCATCCCTCACCCCAGCTGGCCTTAGCATCTATGTTAGAAAAAGGGAGGCCAAGGAAGTCTCCCCCACTCCAGGAACCGATACTCCTTAGCCTGAAAGCTAACAAGCCATTCCTAAAAATTCCAGCTCCATTTAACCCATGGGTTCAAGCAGGCATTTTTCAAAGAGGCAGCATGAACCAGAGCTTTTTCAAAGGGGTTCAGTAATTTTATTTCCCCCAAAGAAAGAAAAGCCCAGGTTTGTCGTTTATCCAGCAGAAGCAGAGCACTTCTAAAATAAACATTTCCTTCAGTACTTGGAAATGAATTCATGACAAGCGGGAGGGGCAAGCTGCTTTCTTTCTTTCTTTTTTTTTTTTTGAGGAAGGGTTTGCCCTGAGCTAACATTCACTGCCAGTCCTCCCTTTTCTGCTGAGGAAGACTGGCCCTGAGCTAACATCTGTGCCCATCTTCCTCTACTTTATATGTGGGATGCCTGCCACAGCATGGCTCGCCAAGTGGTGCCATGTCCACACCCGGATTTGAACTGGCGAACCCCGGGCTGCCGAAGCGGAATGTGCGAACTTAACCACTGTGCCACTGGGCCAGCCCGACAAGCTGCTTTCTTTAGGGAGATCCTGAACACCTGATGCAGAATTAAGTCGGTGTGAAGGCTAAGCTAGAAACAGCTTCCTTGACATTTCAGTCCGCGGCAAGGTGGGTGAAGTGGTGCTGCTCTTGTTGGAGACTTCTGGGAAGCAGATGGGGAGGAGGGAGGAAAAGCCATTTTCACGTTACCTAAGTTTGTGTTCCCTATAGCGTAGAATCACAATTTAATGTAAAATCTAAGCACAGGTAAGGCAACTAGTCACCACAGGAAAAAATCTGGTAAACTTTATAGGAATACAGTCTAATGAAGATCAAAATTCCTAGGCCTTTAAGAGATGGTTAAAGTAGAAAAAAAAATGCCTAAGTTTCAGCAACAGACTGCTTCGGGAACCTTTTCTGGAGCACAGTGAGCTGGGACAACAAATGCATTTACTGGATGAAGGAAATCTAGCACACGCTATGAAACGACACCCACAAAGATTAAGAAAATCATTTGTTTTAATGTTTGGTCCTCAATCATCTGAACATAGCTCTTCTCAGAGGAGAAACACTGACTGCCTCACGATTGCAGGGACGGACGAAATCTCTGGTTGGGGAAGAGGAGCAGCAGCCCAGGCACGCTAAAAGTCTAGCGACCACGCCCAGGGTCCTTCCTTTCGTTATAAAGAGCTTGAACAGAGCTGCTGGGCCTCAGAGGACTGGACCTGCCTCGACCGGGGCTGGAGATGGCAGTTTCTGAGGAAAGCCAGCCCTAGAGAAGACTCCAGGCCTGTAAGCCACTGTGGCGTCACTGCCCTTGGGCCAGAGCTCACCCCAGTGACCCCAAGTTGAAGGAAGAGCAGAGGTAACCCAGCCAAGGACAGGGGGTCACCTCTGTGCAGAGTGGTTTACTGTGCAAACCCCCCACACAAAACACAGGAGCAGCTGGGCAACTCCGAAGTGCTTAGGGACTGGAGACTGACTCAGAATCTGGAACTTTCTCTAGACATAGCAGCCTTTTCTCCCTCCTTGCTTTGCTTTGATGAGGGCTGTGGGGAGCCCAGGTGTGAGGCAGGCATCACTGGTCTGACTCACTGCCAAGACCCTGCAAAGAACAATATGTTTATCATTAATCGATATGCTTATGGGTAAGTGTACACCTACCTCGCGCCTGGACCATTTGGAGTAGGCAAGAACCAGGCACTTCTCCTGAAGACTTTGGACAGCTCTTCACAACAGAGCACACTCAAGTTGGTCTTAGTGCGGGGGTCTCAAAGCATGGTACCCAAACCCTCTTGCTACGCAAGGCGTGTGTGTACATAGACTTTGTCATAATATCCATTATCATAACTAACTCAAATGGGACTAGTTAAAATAAGACTAGATTTTAAAAAGTGAGTCCATTTGAAGAAAAGTATGAAATAAATACTAGTACAGATGGTCTAGAAGTGGAACAGATGACGAAAATGGCGTGTGCCTGCCTAGGTTGATGACACACCCAAACGGTGCCCACCTTTCTATCAGGGCCTTTCCCAGACAGGCTTACCGCCCAGGGTTCTCCCCACTGGTACGAGGTCTGAGCACCTTACCTCAGGCAGATGCCTGCTGGAGCTCAGGGGGTGGCATACCTGATCGTAATCTGCCACATATTTATATTTCTTCTCCCGATAGTAGTATTTTTTCTTCATGCAGTAGAGGACTATGACGTCACACAGCACTGTTGCCTGAGTGGAGCACAGGGCGAGAAAGAACGAGCCAGGATGCTTTCTCCCTGTTACTCTGTGTGTGCCCCTTCCCACGAAGCCTGGAACCTTTCACTGGAAAGGAAAGGCTCTTCCATCTCTCCAGAGAAGGCCGGGCCCTGAGGGTTGTGGTCTTGGGGAAGGGGTCAAGGGAAACAAGCCCAGAGGGTCAAGTCTAGAAACAGTCTAGGGTCAAGGGGAAGGACCAGGCCATCAGCTGAGGATCTCACCTCGCTGTACTAACTACCGCTGAGGAAGGCGCCAGCCCTGGGGGGACGGAGAGGTCTGAGTCACTCACCACCCCTAAGAGCGCCAAGCCAGAGCCAATGTTGATCATGGTAGGGATGATGTCAAACTTCCCAGCCTGCAAATAACAGAAGAAAAAGAAAAAAGAATTGTGATAGGGGTGGGGTAAGAGGAGAGAGCAGATACAGGGTCGGGTGAGGGCCCCTTGTCCCGGCCAACCCAGAAGAGGACTAGTCGGGTCTGACGAGAGGAGCCAGCAGCTAGCGGCCAGGCTACCTTTCCAAACACGATGATGTCGAAGCGGATGCCGTAGGCCTTGATGAGTGTGCGGTGCTCTGTGCCTGTCAGGTCATTGTAGTACTTGGCAAACCTGGGGGAAGGAGGACGGGTTAGAGGGAGACAGCACAGGGCAGCGAGTGACAGTGGCTGGATCTACCACTCTGGGTCTGGGTGAGGGATGTTAGAGCAGAACTCCCCAAAGGCCCTGGAAGAGTTGGCACTGGCTAAAGATTTGCTCTGCCTGCTGAACAGACCACACTTGAGCACTTCAGGGCCTCTCCTGGCTACTGTGGGCTGTGCAGCAGGAGGACTGGCCTGGTGACGAGGACGGCCCAGGGCCCACAGAGGCAGAGGGTCTGGAATGCTGGCAGAAGGCACAGGAAGCATTCCTTTCTCCATCATCACTGTTGCCTCCTACAGCTTAAACCGGAACTTCTTGCTCTGAAAGTCTTTCTTGATATAGCTGAGCCACCTGCCTCTCTCAAGGAGACCCTGGCCACTAACAGAATGTGGCCAGCCAGCAGCAATCTCCAATACTGCTTTGTGAGTAAGGGGACCGAGCCGGCCATGACACTCACAGCATCAGCATTGGACTTTTTTTTTTTAAAGAACCATTGATCTGTCACTGGATGAGTGGATGAACAAAATGTGGTATGTACACACAATGGCATATTCTTTGGCCATAAAGAGATGAAGGACCGATAAATGCTACTACATGGATGAACCTTGAAAAGAACAGGATGCTAAATGAAAGAAGCCAGTCACAGAATGCCACATATTGTATGATTCCACTCATCTGCATGTCCAGGATAGGCAAATCTGTAGAGACAGTAGATTAGTGGCTGCGAGGGGCGGTGGTAGATGGGAGGACAGAGAGGTGACAGTGAAGGGTACGGGATTTCTTTTTGAGGCAATGAAAATGTTCTAAAATTGACTGTGATAATAGTTGCACAGCTCTGTGAATATGCTGAAAAAGATTGAATCCTATACTTTAAATGCATGAGCTGTGTGGTATGAAAATTCTATCTCAGTAATGCCATTAAAAAAAAAACACGAGGGGGAGTGAGAACACAGTAGGATGAGAACTGCTGAGACACGACACCATTTGCAGCCCTGTGTTATACAGGGGATCTACCAGGAGCCTCAACTCTCAGCCCCTGATCTATCTGGCTCACGACTGGTCCAGGCCAGGGGAACTGAGGCAGGCCTGATGCTGGTGGAGCTCGGGGGATGGGTTCCATCAGCTTTTCTCTGTTCTGAGGTTCCAACCCACGCTTGAGGTTTCCTACAGTGGTTTCTACAAGAACTCTGTAACAGCAGAGAAAGAGCAACACAAATCTAACTCCCTTACTAGGAAAAAGTTCAAATATCTGCCCTCCTATCAGCGGGTTAGATGGTTCAAAAGGATAGCAGAGCCACGTGCATTTGATTCCACACGCCACCACTAGAGGGAGACAGGTGCAACAGAAAGCGCCATTGGCCTACTCAGCAGGTCCCCGTGGGGCCTAATTTTAAGAGTGGCTAAGTGTGAAAGATGCAATAAAGGACACATGAAAATGTACCTGGTTATAGATTTTACTGCCTTGAGAAAGTGGAAAACAACCCTAACCCTAACCCTAACCCTAACCCTAAACCCCTAACCCTAACCCCCGAACCCTAAACCCTAAACCCTAACCCTAAACCCTAACCCTAACCCGCACCTCAGCCCTTGCATCAGATTACCAGCTGCTACTAGGTTGAATACTGTCCCCTAAAATTAACGTCCACCTAGAACCTGAGAATGTGACCTTACTTGGAAATAGGCTGTTTGCAGATGTAATTGGTTAAGATGAGGTCATACTGGATTAGGGTGAGCCCTGAATCCAAGATGACTGGTTCCCTTATCAGAAGAGGTGAAGACACACAGTGACACAGACACACAGGGCTAACGCCATGTGACGACAGAGACTAGAGGGATGTGTCTACCAGCCAAGGAACACCAAGGATGGCTGGAGCCACCAGAAGTTGGAAGAGGCCAGGAAGGAGCCTGGCCTTGCTGACACAGTGATTTCAGGCTTCTAGGCTTCAGAACTGTGAGAGAATAAGTTCCTGTTGTTTCAAGCCACCTACTTTGTGGTAATTTGTTATGGCAGCCCTAGTAAACGAAAACACAGCACTTCATCAGGGAAATAACAGCAAAGGCTTTCCTGGAGGCTAACACCTGTATCCCCTGCACCTCGGAGATTCCAGGAGCAGGACCTGGCTTTGAGAAACCAATTGCTGTGTCAGGGCCCAGAGGCCTTTGGACTGGAGGATCATGAGCTCATCCACTCCTCAGAACTCGTGAGTGGACGTCCTGCCTGAGGCTGGCCTGAGAAAGCTCAAGCAGCCAGCCTCTCTTGGCTCCTCTGAAAACTGTCTCAGCACGTTTCTTGAGGCAGGAAAGGGCAAGGGAGGCTCTTATGGGCCAGGATGCCACAGGGCAAAGCCCTCCCTGGGACACTGTCCCTGGTGCACGGCCTTCCCACCTGCTCTTGGGGTGCTGCCCGACTGGCTGTGGAGCCCTACTGGGAAGTGATCCAGCCACCATCACCCCCAACACATGAGAAATGGGGCCCAAGCTCATGCCCACCTGAAGTTGTAGCCGGGGGACACATTGTGGTCCACATCCCGGGTATCCAGGCGGCGGAAGGAGTACTTGGGCAAGCAGAGGGAGGCAGCTCTATCCAGGTTGCAGTTCCACTTGATCTGGATGCCCATGATGCCTCCCTGTGGGTTGCAAGCAGAGACAGAGCACGCTTTCCTCAGAGCCCATTCTAGAACAAGATGTCAAAGACTGTGCTAGAAAAGCCAGGATCTGTGCATGAGACAGGAACCAGCCTAACGAGACAGGGCCATCTGCAAGGCCCCTGCCATAACAAGATAAGGCCCCTAACCAATTGGAAGCTAGGAGAATCAGACAGAGGCCACCAAGACCCACATTCCGCAGCCTCCAGACCTTCCTGGGCTCACGCATGTGCCCTAGCACCCAGACGTCCACTGAAGGTGACCCCAGCCCCATTAGCATAATAAGAATCACATCCAGAGGTGGAGAGCTAGGCTGCTAATGATACATGCATTGCATATGGTAACATGCTACGAGACAGCATAGGCACAAGCACAACCCCACCTCTACATGCCATGACAAGGCCCTCCTCCCCAGCCTTTGCCTAATAAAAGCCCCACAATCCTACTCCCTAATGAGCTGGTCACCGGTCCCTTTCCTTTCTGCACTGGCTCCCTTGTGCCTCTCCTTTGCACAAGCTAATGAACTTTTACTTTTCTACTCCCATTTGTTGTCTTTCTCGATTTTCATCCTGGAGGACAATAAGAACCAATGTGCCGGTAACACACGTACCTCGACAGCCATGTCCTGGAAGCTGTGCCCTGCGTTCGCCACTATGTTGCCAAGACGGAATATGGGGCAGAAGGGATCTGTTATGGCATCATAAATGCACGATTTGAGGTAGGTCGTGGTGATGTTGGATAGGATATTCCTCCTAAAGTCGGGAGGAAGCAGAAAACAGGAGCGAAGAAAACTTCAAAGAGCCAGAAATTTCTTCAAGACATTGATGAACTCACACGGCTGGCCACCACTTACTTGCTGAAATTAAATTTGGGATACCAGATGTTGTTCTTAACCAAAAGAGTGAAGTTTTCTGCAGCCTTTAAAAGAGCAGGTCTGAAAAAAATTATAACATATTGTTAATAAAAGTACAAATACATGTAAACTTGCATACTTATGTAATATTTTTTAAAAGCATATACACATCTTACAATGTCATTTGTCAAGAAGTGAAACATTTCTAGCATTTTCTACTCTGCTCTGCATGAACTCTAGGTCAAGAGAGGAGACGGTAAGCAAGCCTTCCGGGTTCTTCCTCTCATGGCCTCTTGCCCAAGGCAGCAGGAATTTCAGAGCCCAAGGAATAGCTAATAAAGGGTGGTGCCTGGTGGCCTCACTGGAAATCATTCAGCCGGCAGCTGTTGGGTTTCAGGGCCTGCCTCCCTCAGGTGGTCTCAGGGGAGTGCTCAGCAGATCTGGTTTGACAAGTGAAAGCAAAGGGAAATCCACCTACAGGCTGGATCCTGACCTGTCTCAAAAGTACACAAATAGTGCTGGCCTGCTGGTGCACAGTCTCTGCTTGGAAGTGCCATGTCAGCTCCTGGCTAACAATGCGAGTGGAATCTGTCCCCAAAGGGACTCCATTTCTTTGGTGGATTTCTACAGGAGAATCTGGCACTGTAGGCAGGCCCCTCCCTGGGGGAAGCTTTGAAGTTATAAACAATATCAGCAGTTTTCCCAACCCTGAGACAGGAACAAGGCCGATGACAAGGCCACACAATGAAGTGAGCTGAGCCTGATGACAAGCACAGGCCTTGACCAACACACTTCTCTCGGGGCTTCAAATTCCCTCATCCCTGTTTCAAGAGGGATGGATTATATCAGGGTTTTTCAAACTTTTGTCATTCCCTATACCATGACCTTTCCCCCACATCTGTGTATTTCATATGCAATACTCTTAACTCACCTTTTTAAAAAATTGAGGTGAAATTCACATAACAAAGTTAACCATTTTGCAGTGTACCATTGTGTCATTTAGTACATTCACAATGCTATGGTTACAATGCTATGTAACCATCACCTCTATCTAGTTCCAGAACATTTTCATCATCCCAAAAGGAAACTATGTACCTATTAAGCAATTACTATCTATTCTTTCCTCTCAGCCCTTAGGAACTACTAATCTGCTTTCTGTCTCTACTGATTTGTCTATTCTTGATATTTCATATGAATGGATGTTTCATACATGGTCTTTGTGTCTGCCTTCTTTTGCTTAGCATAATATTTTCGAGGTTCGAGGTAGCATATATCAGAACTTCATTCCTTCTTTATGGCTGAATCATATTCCATTGTAGGGACATACCACAGTCTCCCTCTTCACCTGTTGATGGGCATTGTTTCCACCTTTAGGATCAACTCACTTTTCTATTGACATTCATTTTGAAATGAAACTTTCCATCATGGCCATAAAAAATATCATTTACTACAAGTCAGAGGTGGTTATTCAAATAAATGTAACCAAGTCAAAACAATGTTACTGAAAGTTGTGGTTAATATTATTGTCTGCCCAAGGTGCTGAATCTAGGGCTTGTCCTTTGTGAGAAATGGAAATCAGCAAGTGACAGAAGCGTATTAAAGACACTCCAAACCAGGAATTCTTCCATGATATCAGCTAAGGGGCTGAATAAGAATGGCAATGAGTATGTCTTTCTCTCCATGTGACTCAATGTTATTTCATGTATCAGTGTACACTTAAAAATCATCTTATATTAGATTATATCTTTAATCACACTGTCCAATGAAAATATACTGCAAGACATAAACCATATTGTAACTTAAAACTTCCTAGTAGACATATTAAAAAGTAAAAAGAAACAAGTGAAATTAACTTTTCTATAATCACCCAATATATCTAAAATATTACTTCAACATGTAAACAGCATAAATATTATTGAGATATTAATATATATTTTTTTCATAACAAGTCTTTGCAATCTGGAGTGCGTTTTACACTGATGGCACATCTCATTTTGGACCCAGCCATACTTCAAATGCTCGACAGCGACACATGGTCAGGTCAGTAGCTCGTGTTGGAGCTACTGTGTTGGAATATTGGAGAAAACAGCTCCATGAGATCTTTTCCAGCTCTAAAATATTAGGACTCCCTTTCTTTTAGTATTTCCTTCCCTAGCCTGAGCTACTGCCCTCAGCAATCTCTAAATCAGTGGTTCTCAACCTTTTCTTCTGTTGCAATGCACCCTGGATAAGGTTCACGTGGCTGCCTGCTCCCCCAGGACTTATCTAGGTTTCAGTCTTCTGAACTCTGGGTAAGACAGGCTGAGGTTGCAAGCAATTCTGAGAGCTTACCTCTAACTCCACCCACTCAAAGCACAGCAAATTACAATGGAGAAGAATGTTATTCTAGGGCAACCTGCTCTAGTTGATAAAACACACTTTATAGTGGGCTTTAATTATTTTCCAGCCCAGAATTTGTTCCCCCTTTTTCTGGTAACAGAATCCCAATTTTCCTTTAGAAGCCACACCTCCCCTACTCTCAGCCCGTGTCATTTGGATGGGCTGACTCCGCCTCTAGCTCCAGAAGTGGGCATGTGACCCAGGCCCAAGATGATAAGCAAAATCCATCACCCAGTCACAGTGATGGGTTGGCCTCAGGTGTGATGACAGACAGGTCTAGAATCTCAGTGGACAACTGGGCAAGGAGACCCGGCCTTGGGGGGATGTAAGCCCAGAGCCGCCTCCTGGGACTACGCCAGGTCCTGCAAATGATGCCAACGTGAAGGCAGCAGAGCCAAGAGACGGAGGCTCTGATGTTGTCCTTTGAGCTCCAGATCTAGCCATGCTGGGATCTCTGTGGTTAGTTAAATAAGAAACTGTCTCCATGGCATGTGCACACGCACATGCACACACACACTTAAGGCATTGGGAACAGTTTCCTGTCAGTTACTTGCAACTGACAGAGTCCTAACAGAAATAAGTCATCTGCACTCTTATCATGAGTGACGAATACTGTGGCTCACCTCACCGCTGATGGTTGCTGACTTGTGGTTGAGAACCGTCACCCTAGAGAAGCCTGACTACACAGACACCAAGAGCACAAAGCCACAGCACACAGGCTTAAGTCCCCTGCAGCCTTCTCTCAGGCCCGAGAATCAGAGTTTAGGGCACTTCCTTCCCTCGGTCAGGACTCACTCTGGCGCACGTGCATCATACTCCACAGGGCACCAGGCTGCCACCTCGCACGTCTTCACAGTCTCATTGAACAGCACACATCTTCCTGTTGCGACTCCTACAGGGGTGAGGAGGACCCAGGCCCACAGGGATCTCTTATTTTCTATTTTTGTGAGGAAGAGAATGGAAGCCCCACCACAGCATCCTATGTGATCCATCTTGAGCTATTCCGATTCTGGGATTTAGACAGTGTCCAGAAATAGGAATTGGAGGAAAACAGTTGCCTGAGCTCTAGCCATGTCTCTGTTTTGCCAGTTGCAGGGCTAGGGTGATGCCAAGCCACAGCACAGGGCAAGATCTGGGATGGCTTCTGGATGCAGATGACAGGTGTGTGTCAAGAGGGTCCTGCGACCCCAATCTGGACATCAGGCTCACCCAGGGTCATGCAAGGGCACTGGGGGATGTGCGAGATTTCTTTATCCTGGAGACTTTGCTATCAGAGGAGCCCCACAGGGGGCACAATCTGGCCAGGGGCTGCCCTCCCCAGGCTAAGCGTCTACTGTGGGGTCACAGCTGTGCATTCGTACCGCTGCTATGGGTGCCTGTGGAGCCAGCAACACAGTCGGCATCTGACTTACACACATTCGTCTTATCTGGAATCTGGAAAAAGAAGAACGAGTGAAAACAAGGTCCATGTGGTCCGGGTCCACATCCAGCTGATAGGCATGGACGCAGGGGACGTGAGGTCCAAGGCTCTTTCCAGGAGAAGCTGCCTACCTCAGGACAGAGGCCCTGGGTCTGGTTCATGGTGATGATCATGTTGGTCATGACGAAGAGGGAGTTTTCCTCCTGTAGAGTGGGCAGAGGGGAGAGAGTACTGCTCTGTTACCTTCAGAGGAGTCACGCAGAACCACAAGGAAGGCCAATGTTCATTTAATAGGACAGCACCTTTCACTTCTCCCACATGCCACACAGAAAACAATTTAAAAAACTGATCTTATGGTCTCCCATTCTCTTCTATGAGAGTTTATAACCTAATCGAAAACAGGAACTCAAACAAATACTTGTATATGCGTGTTAATAGCAGCATTATTCACAATAGCCCAAAGGGAGAGACAGCCCAAGTGTCCGTCAACAGATGAATGGATACACAAACTGTGGACTATACCTATAATGGAATATGATTCAGCCATGAAAAGGAATGAAGCACCGACACATGCTACAATGTTGACGAACCTCAAAAACATGATGCTAAGTCAAAGAAGCCAGACAAAAGGCCACATGTTGTATGATTCCATTGATATGAAATTTCCAGAATAGGCAAATCCATAGAGACAGAAAGTACATGTGTGGCTGCCAGGGGATGTGAAGGAGGGTGGAAACCAGAGTGCTTAATGAGCATGGGGTTTCCTTTTAGGGTGATGAAAATGTTCTGGAACTAGTTAAGGTGATGGTTGCGTAATATCATGAATGCACTCAATGCCACTGAATTTTTCATTTTGAAATGATTAATATTATGATATGTGAATTTCACTCCAATTAAAAAATGTCTATAACCTGAAATGGTTCCTTAATAAAGTTTGATTTGTTGAGGGAAAAGAGCCAAATGCTCTAAAGTTCTCTGCCGACCAGATTGCCTCAGAGGTAGAAAAACACGAGGCCCTAAAGGGCTCATATTTGGCTGTCTTCTCTCCTAGCTGGAATTAAAATAAAACATTTTGGAAAAGACTCAATCAGGGTCAGCAATTGACACTTCTCCCTTTGTGAAGGTTCAGTTTTCTCTTTGTGAGTATGAAGGTGCGACATGGTTGACGTGAGTTCTGGAGAGCAATTCGCTGGGGATGAGACTGAAGAATTGCTAATAATGACCTCCTGATATAAAGACAAAGACCTCAAAAGACTCTAGCTGGACCTCCCGTTCACTGGGTGCTGGCATTCTAAAATGAAACGCCAGAAGCTTTCTCTCAGCGTTTCATACTCCTTGGAAGAGCGGAATCAGCGCTGTGAGCCATCTGGGGGATGGACTCCGGGTAACTCGGGGATCAAAGGTGAAGATATCTCCACCTCCAGGTCTGACAAGGTGGTGGAAGCTCAGGGAATAGCTGGCATCTTTCAAAGAAAGGCCTAGAACAAATCATGTTGGGAGACGAGGAAATGGCCACAACACAGGTCACAAGGCTGTGGCATGACGCCCGAGTCTCTCCCAGCACGGGTGTTTCATATATAAACGCACTGCTTCCTCAGTGTTCACACAAGGCTGCTCCCGTGACTCTCTGGAGTCAGAAGGGAACATTCCGTACGGTCTACTTTTGGTTGCCTATTTCTTATCTATAGTCAGGCGCTGCACAACTTACGACGACACACCACATATACGACGACCGTGGTCCCAAGAGATTAGTACCGTGGAGCCTAGGTGTGTAGCAGGCTATACCATCTAGGTTTGTGTAAGCACACTCTATGATGTTCACACAATGACAAAACTGCCTAACAATGCATTTCGCAGAACGTATCCCCAAAGTTAAGCAATGTAAGACTGAATTTTAAGTTTAGGGAACTTTCAGTCTGGAGATGAGCCAAGTAGATGTGGTGCAAACAGATGTTTGATTCTCATCTTCAGAGAAGCAGAAGGACACCATGAAATCTCATGAAGAGAGCCCTGTGGATCTCATACAGCCCCCTGTCCAGATCCATGATGGAAGGCAGAGTTGCTGCATGTTCCCTCCACTGAGGGACAGAAGCAGGTGGCCCGTACCCTTCCTTGGTTCCAGTAAACAGACTGAGTGTGATATTCCCAGAGCCTGCCAGGACGAGGCCGTGCCATCCCAGGAAGCAGAGGTCTCTCTGTCCAGACAGGTGCATGCCTACAGGACCACCCACCTCCCACAAACTATGAATCCTCTGTTCCATTTGATGTTTACAGCTCATTCGCTCTGTCTTCTCCCTGGGCACCCCTCAAGACCCTCCTCTGGGGAAGGCAGGGAGAAAATGAATAGACTTGAAAAAAGAGAGAGATTCCGAAGTCCTTGCTTTCCCTTGCAGAGCTGTGAGCCAAGACTTGGCAGCTTATCTGCATTTGGCCACCCCTAGTCACCCTCGCACGTAAGCCATCTGGAGGGATATGTCGGGGTTTGGCTGCGTAAGTCAATATTTAACTTGGAGTTTTGTGGATTAAGAGACTGGAGACTAGGATGCTGCGCCAATTTTTTCCCTTACCTTTGTTCCTGAAGGAATCCTATGTGGGTATGTCTGTTTCGTTCTTGTTTTTGGTCTCTAATTGCTGTTAAAGTTTTTACACTGTCTGAAAAGATTAACCTTGTGAGTTTACAACAATAAAGCAAATACAAAATGTGGAAAGACAATATTTCCACCTGAATTTTTCCCAGGATTTAAAACATTTGCTTTTTTTCACCTTTCAGGGTTTGAGACAGACTCAGATGTGCACATGGAAAGCTTCCTGTGTTTAAGCCAGCCATGTTTCAGATCTGAAGAAATATAGCTGATTGAATATTACCTGTTAGACCCTGAGCACTGATTTCTTGACTAAGATGATCAGTGTGGGCCCTGGTGATGTTAGAACTCTGCCTGTGCCATTCGTTAATCAAGTGTGCCAGGTCAGGAATGGGAAAGGAGCTAATCAGAAGCTTTACTGCTGGACAGATGTCACAGGTGAAGCCTACCTGAGCTGGAATCACATAATCAGCCACATCCCAGATCCGGAATCCAAGTGCAGAAGTGTTGGTGACAGTCACACCCTTGGCTTTGGCAGTAACTGAGCTGACCACTGAGTCCGTTTCCTGGTATCCTTTTTCCCACACAAACACCCACCTACAAAATAAAACAGGCCTCTTAAATTGCCATTAGGATTCCATGAATCTGAAACGATGCTAGGGAGCCTCTGATAGCCAGAGGCTGAAAGTATGACACTTAGTAATTAAGTGACTTTACAAAAGTAGCTTAACATATGGGGGCTCCATTTCCATTTCTGGAAAATGGGGATAATAACACCTAAACCACCGAGTGGTTTCTGGGAAATAAATGAGATGATGCAGGTAAAGTACTTAGCACAGTGAATAACATAAAGAAAATACTCGGTGAGTGCTGTCTATGTTACTAGATATTTGAGCACTTTTAAGGAACTATGACTTGTGGAATCACCAAGAGATAATAAAAATTATGATAACAATGGTTACCATTTGAGTGTTTTTAGGTGCCAGGTACTGATCTAAGCTCTTTATATGTATTAACTAATTTAATACTGACCATTTTGTAAGGCAAGCATCATAAGTATTCTCCATTTCACAGAGGAGAAAACTGAGAAACAGAGAGGTTAAGTCACTTGCCCAAGGTAACACAGCTAGTAAGTGACAGAGTCAGGATTTGAACTCAAGCCTTTTGCCTCTGAAGCCTCTTCTCTTGCCCTCTATGCTGTCCCTCTAGAATGGAGAATCTCACCACTTAAGTAACATTTTATAGTAGTTTCTTACTTTTTCCCCAAGAATTCAGGTCACATTAATGCTTCTCTCCTCTGAAGTAGGGGCATTACTACCAGCCTGAATAATTAAAAATCTAAAAGCAATAGTGCATAGTGGTTAGGACACTGGAACACAGACTGAAGCCATGAACACAAGTTCATGTCTCAGCTCCACCACTCACTAGGCATAACTTTGGCCAAGTTGCTTAACTTCTCTGTGCTTCAGTTTATCCCATCTATAAGATGGGAACGATGACAGGACGTCACAGGATTGTTGTGAGGTTAAATGAGTTAGTGGATGTCAAACGCCTAGAACAACGTTTGTGAATCGCCATCCGTAGGCTGAAATTGGCCATGATGGGAGTATTTACACTATGGAAGTTGGCCCATACTGCAGATCAGAACTCCTCCCCACCAGAGCTGTTGTTAAACATCTCCCAACAACTTATTATTTCCAGAACCAAGGAATGCTAGCAGCCCTCTCCCCTCCTTATAAGCCCTGGATGCTGAGACTTCAGAAATTCACTGGTTTTGGTTACTTATTCATGGGTTTGTCTGGTCTGAGCAGTTTCCAAATGCATTGCCCATCCCAGAGATGGGCTTTCCCGCTAACAAGTCCTCTTCTTCAGGGGTTCTAGGAATTCAGCTGCAATAGAAGCTTCCATTCAATTCTAGTTGGACGCACGGAAGCTTAGGGCAGGAAGATCATTCTCATTTTACCACCGAGGACAGTGAGTTGCTAAATCAGAGACACATGGTTTCACAGGAATCACTATGAGATTAACCGTTTCCTCATCATGTGATGATAATGGAAATAAACGAGAAATACGTCTTCAGTCTCTTTTTTTCAGGAAGGACTGCTGTAGGTCACTATGGGAAGAGACCACAATTTCACCAAAATGAACTGGGTCAGGAAGTTAAGAGAAAAGTTAAAAAAAAAAAAAAGTCCTTAATTCAGATCCTGAGTCAGTTTTGATCATAGTAAGATGGATAAAAGCAAAAAGCAAAGCATTTACAGCTTTAAAAATCCACCTGATCAAGGTAGAGAACACTCGTAGGAACCCTAGAAAGCTCGCTGCCCAACAGAAATATAACACGAGCCATATATGTAGTTTAAACATTTGTAGTAGCCATATTAAAAAGTAAAAAGAAACAGGTAAAATTAATTTTAATGATATATTTTATGTAACCCAATATGATCAAAACATTTTAACATGTTACCAATGTAAGATGTATTAATATGATATTTTACTTTGTTTTTGTACCATGTCTTTGACATCTGGTGTGTATTTTAGTGACAGCACATCTGAACTTGGAGTAGGAACATTACAAGGGCTCGACAGCCACATGTGACTACTGGCTACCATATCGTGCAGCACAGATATACATACTTTCTGCAGTCTAGAACTTTACAGACAGCTACCCTAAGGTAGATGTAAACTGATCCTTCCACGAGCATCAAAAGCCGAGAGGGAAAATCTGAGAGAGTGCTCCTGATTCCAAATGCTTCAGGTCTGACCAAGCAATGTGAGTTTAGTTAACCCGCTAGCAGTGGGTCTCAAAATTTAGGATGCATCACAATCACTGGGGGCAAAAAGTTGGTAGTAGTGGTACTTAATGAGTCCAAACCTGGGGGAGATCCAGGTGGTTCTGATGTAAAGTCCATGCCTGGAAAGCCATTTTATTGAATACTGTCAGAACCTACTGCTGCTGGGCAGATAGAAGCCAAACCCACCAGAGCATGCAAATTCCCTGGGGCAGTGTTAACAGATTCCAGTCCCATCCCAGGGTGGGGGAATCTGATACTTTTAAACAATTCCTGAAGTAAGTCATGATCAGGTAGGTTTGGGAAACTCTAGGACACTGGTTCCCAGACTTTGGTGCACATCAGAATCTCCTGGAGAGGGGCTGGCCCAGTGGCACAGCGGTTAAGTTTGCACGTTCCGTTTCTTGGCGGCCTGGGGTTCACTGGTTGGGATCCCGGGTGTGGACATGGCATCACTTGGCAAAAGCCATGCTGTGGCAGGCATCCCACATATAAAGTAGAGGAAGATGGGCATGGATTTTCAGCTTAGGGCCAGTCTTCCTCAGCAAAACGAGGAGGATTGGCAGTAGTTAGCTCAGGGCTAATCTTCCTCAAACAAACAAACAAACAAACAAAAAGAATCTCCAGGAGAGCTAGTCATACTCCACAGCAATCAAATCAGAAGGTCTGGGGATGGGTGCCAGCAATCAGTAGTTTTTAAAGATTCCAAAATGGTTCTAATGCGTAGTTGGGGACCACTGCATTAGGCCTTTTAAGAAAAGGAATGACCAAGCAGATAACATCTGTCAGCTTAACAGGTGTAAATACCAGAACACTCCAGGTGGACCTTACCTCAGCTGCTAAGTTAATGTCCACCTCCTCTCGTAAGTTTTACTAAATTGCAATGCATGCATTCAATTAAAATTAAGCACTTGGTGAGGACTGAAGGTGGCAGGGCACACAGAAGCGTAAGAGGGCAGCATGGGGAATGATGAGGCTAAGGCAGGTACCTATACAAAGAACCTCAACGACCCGACAAAACGAAGCGAACTTTAAATGCTTTTTGGAAGCGTAACCTCTGTATTATCCTGGGTTACCAAATGGTGCTGAAAGCACCAGAAGCCACAAACCCAAAATGAACCATGTGGAAATTCGAAATCTTGGTTTCTGTCAGCAGATAGATCAGAATGGGAAGTGAGGAGCAAAGATTAAGATGTTTAGGGCACAGCCGCACCGCCCCCGCCCCTCGCCCCCGCCCCATTGCCAAAGGACATCATGGAGCACGTCGGAAGAAAAGCAGCAGGAAGGGCGAGGATAAAGGTCTAGCCAGGCTTTATCCTTAAAACACAACGTCAAAGCACCCTTCTGCCCCGGAGCCCGGCACAGAGCCCATTCCCCCCGTGGCTAGGGTCCGGAGAGGGGTGTGTCACCGGCCTCGGGTCGCCACCCGCGGGACCCCACCTGGAGGGCGCCCGCGGGGCTCATCCGACGACCTCGGCCAGGAGGAGCAGGTGCACGGCCGGGTCCCAGAAGGAGGAGCTCCCAGGCCTCGGGTCGCCCCCAGGCCCGGGGGTCACCGGGCCGGCGCGACCGCGCTCACCCGATGACGTAGGCCAGGATGAGCAGCTGCACGGCCCGGTTCATGAGCCCCACTTTACGGCTGCGGATGAGCACGATGCGCGGCGTGTCGTACTCGAACAGGAAGGCGGCCAGCCCTGCGCAGCAGCCCGCCATGGCCCGCGCCCCGCCGCCGCCGCCGCGCCGCCCCGCTCCGCGCTCTGGCCTAGGCCCGCGCACCCGTCGCCTCGTCCCCGCTCGGGAGCCCCGCCCAGGCGGCCCGGCCAGCCCGCGGCGACGCCATTCACGGGGGAGGGCCCGGAAGGAGGTGGTGCTAGCCCTCGGGGGAGGGGGCCAGGCGGAAGGCGTGACCTCCCCCTCGGGTACGAGCGACGCCTGGGAGGGCCGGGGGAGCGACCCCTTCAAGTGGGATGGGCTCTACGGGCAAGGAGTGACCTCCCCTTTGGGAACGAATGACCCCCTCAGAGGAGCCGGGGCCAGGGGAGTGGGGTGTGAGTGACTTCGTCAGGAGTGGCAAGGAGAGGGAATGACCCCTTCAGGAGGGCCCGGGAGAACGAGTGACCCTCTTAGGGGACATAGCGCCCTCCGGGAGTTACCTCCTCAGGGGGGCCCTGGAGGAGGGGTAATGAGCGACCTCCTTAGGGGGTCTAGGAAGTACGAGTGACTTTGTAGGGGGGCAGCCTAGGAGAAAGAGCAATCCCTCGGGAGCTCCAAACTTGTGCAGGCTCTAATGAGGGGGAGCTGGGGGCAGCCTGCCTTCTCGACCTCTGGGGGGGAAAGCCTACATATCAGGTGCCCTAGGAGCCTTTGGCTGGAGCGACACATCCTAGAAAAGGCCCCTCTTGGAATCGAAGCCAGGCCACATCCCTGCTCTAATTCAGATGCTTCCTTAGCTGCAGGACAGGGGAGGAAGCAGCCAGAGGCAGGTGAGGGGTTTCCGTGGCCATCCTTTCAACTGAGAAAGTTTTATCACAACTTTAGGGAAACTTGGAAAATAGAGGGAAAGTGGAGGAAACACCCAGAGTTCCACTACTTGAACGTAATTTTCCACGTTTGTTCATTCTCTTCAGGTATGTTTTCATAGATACGTTTTATATTTAGTTTCATTAATTCATTCAACAAGTATTAGTCAGCACCTTTGTATGCCAGGCACTGTCCAGTGAACAGAACAAGCCCAAACATCCTGCCTTCGTGGGGTATAAATTCTAGCAGATAACTGAGTATAAAATTTTAGTTTGTAGTCGTAGTCAATGATGGTGCTTTTCATTTCCTGACTCACACTAGTTATTTTCCATGTTACTGCAGACTCATCATAATGATCCTTTTTAATCTATGGATTACTTCTTCCAGAGGGTTTGCCCTGATTTCCCTAACTGTTCTCATCTGATTGCTTCTAGTTGGTGGATCCTATGCATAATCTTTGATACAACATTTTAGTTCATTTCCTGGGGGTGAGATTCCTAAGCCACTTTGTTTTTCCAAATATAGAAAGGTGAATAATAAGACAATTTGAAAAAAAACAGACAGTATCTGTCTCTAGAGATGGAATTATTGAGTTAGAGGGAGGACCAGAGCTGCCACCTGCCTCAGTCCAAAATGGTCCCAGGAAAAGGTGATGACAAATTAAGTGGATTTTATTCATTCATTAGACAGATATTTACCAAGTGCCTGTTTTGTGCTTGGCGGTGTTCTTGATGCTGGGGATATAAGGGTGGACAGAGAGATGAACTCTCTACCACAGTGGGGCTTGGTGCGGTTGGGAAGGTTTAACTTCTATTTAGAAAAGGAAAACCTAGTCACTAAATTCTCATTGGAAGGGGACTTAGAAGTGCTTTTCCTTAAGAGTCAAAACACATTTCTGGCTCTGTTTAATATTAATCCCATAGTCATGAGATGGTCCTAGCCTTAGAAATCTTGAATTTAAATGGTCTGCTTGCACTTTGGAACAAAGTCAATTAAGAGAAATGTAGAAATACAAGTTTTCCTAAATTACTAATTGATACCATATCCTTAGGCCCAACCAAAGAAACTGGTCCTGAAAAATGATCAGGAAAAGAAAACTGTTTCATTTACACTTTTACCCCTGGTTTATCTCTTTAAAAACAGCTTTCTTGGGGTATAATTGACATAAAATAATCTGCACCTATTTAAACTGTACAGTTTTATAAGTGTGACATGTGTACACCCATGGGTCTGTCACCACAGTCAAGATAGTGAATATATCCAACGTCCGAGCCAGAGTAATCTTAGTTTATGTAAAGTAAAAGTAACTGCTGATTACAGTTGGGACTTTTCACACACATATGTCTTAATTACATTCGGTTGCATATTTGTTTTATAGCTTGATTGAGTATAGTCAGTTATTGAGTAACCTTGGGAATTTAGTTTAAAAAGAAAAGATTTTCAGTAAAGATGCCAATTCAATGAGGAAAGAATAGTCTTTTCAACAAATGGTGCTGAAACAACTGGATATCCACATGAAATGATGACATTTGACCCCTACCTCTTACCATATATAAAGATTAACTCAAAATGGATCAAAGACCTAAATGTAAGAGCTAAAACTAGAAGAGTCAGATGAAAAGATAGGTGTAAATCTTTGTGACCTTGGATTAGGCAGTGGTTTTTTTGATATGACACTTAAAGTACAGGAGACACAAGAGAAAATAGATAAATTGAACTTACAATTTAAAACTTTTGTGCTTCAAAGGACACCAAGAAAATGAAAAAGACAACCCACAAAATGGAAAAAATATTTACAAATCATGTATCAGATAAGGGTCTAGTATCTTAGACATCTTCACTAAGAATTCTTGAACTCTTATAATTCATCAATAAAATGACAACCTAATTAAAAATGGGCAAAAGATTTGAATAGATGTTCTACAAAGAAGATACACAAACGGTCAATAAGGACGTGAAAAGATGTTCAATGTCACTAGTCATTAGGGAAATGCAAATCAAAATCACGAGATACCCCTTCATCCTACTAGCATGACTATAATCAAAATGATAGACGCTTAAAAGATGGCAAGGCTGTGGAGAAACTGGAAAACCCATACGCTGTTGGTGGGAAAGTAAAATGGTGTAGCCGCTTTGGAAAACAGTTTGGCAGCTCCTCAAAATGTTAAACAATTACCACATGACCTAACAATTCCATTCCTACATATATACCCACGAGAACTGAAAGGATATGTTCGTGCAAAAACTTGTGCATGAATGTTCAGAGCATTATTCATAATAGCCAAAAATGTGGAGATAACCTGAATGTATCAGCTGATGAATGGATAAATAAAATGTGGTATATCCATACAATGGGATATTATTTAGCCATAAAAAGGAAACTGATACATGCTGCAATGTGCATGAACCTTGAAAATATTATCCTAAGTGAAAGAAGCCAGGTACAAAAGGACACTTATTATATGATTCTGTTTATATGAAATGTCCAAGATAGGCGAATCCATAGAGACAGAAAGTACATTAGTGGTTGCCTAGGGCTGGAGGAAAGCAAGAATGAGGAGTGATTGCTAATGAGTACAGCATTTCTATTTGGGGGGATGAATATGTTCTGGAAAATAGATAATGGTGATAGTTGCTGAACCCTTGTGAATGTACTAAAAGTCACTGAACTATGCATTTTAAATGGGTGGATTTTATGGTATATGAGTTATATCAAATTAAAAAAAGAGAAGAAACAGGGAGTAGACAACGAAGGCCTCAGAAAAAACAAGCTACATACCTCACAATAATGGGGCCAAACCTCATGTTCTTACTTCATGGGGAGCACCTCAGGCCCTTTGTTTTAGACAAAGTTCTAACAGTCTGGGTTATCTGACTCCTTCTTTGCGTATTAAGCCAGTTTGCCACAAAGTTCTTCCTCTGAAAACTGCCCTTCCTCACAGAGGTGCCTCAGCAGCCATTTTTGTACTGTGTGACCTTGTCAATTGGAGCACAAGGGGGAACCGAACCCAAAAGGGCCCATCTAGTTCTGTCCTCTGGGACTGTGGCACTGGGAGAGAGGCAGCCTTTTGTTTTCTGCAAGTGACTGGAACTGAGTTGATGTAACCTCAGGGTTTGCGGCAGAGTTGTGCTCAGGGAGAAGCCGGGAAGGGGAGTCTGCAGAAGCAAAAGAAAGAAACAGACGTGCAAAGGGACCCAAAGGTGAGAGAGACTAAGAAAATGGCCTCTTTGGTTTCTGCTGAGTTCCTGGTTCTGCCCCCTTGGTTCACTTTTGCCCTTAAGGTACCCCTATAACTGTATAATAAATGTTCATTTTTTTTTCCTGTAAGCTAGTAGGCTTTTGAAACTTGGAATTGAAAGGACTTTGGCTGTGGTGCTAGGTTCTGAGAGATGAAAAATGTTCTGTCACCAGTAATGTGGGCATTAAAATAAATATTTGTATGAATAAACATTTAGAATTAGATTAGAGGTGGGAGGCACTGCCTGAGGCCACCAATACTAAGATCAGCAATAAATAAATTAACAGCCTATAAAAAGGAAAAGTCCCTGTGGAAAGCAGAGCCAAGAACTCCTAAAAACTCATCAGTCTGGGACCATTTAGTTGACAGGCCAGCAGTGGCTGACCTCGGTGCACCTTAGGGTGTCATTTGGTTATAGCATGGTAAGAATGATGTTTGTTACAATGGCCTCAAGCCGCAAAAGGTCAATCAGATAAGTTCGGGAGTCTCTTCTGTGAAAAAATGTTTAAACTTTCAAGCATTTAAAGATGTAGGATTCACTTACTTGGCACATAGACATTGTGAAATACGTCATTGTATAACATAATGATAGATACATGTGGTCCAAATGTTTAATTATATATACCTCCAGAAATAGCACATCCTCTAAATAAAGAACAGCTTGGTAGCAAAAGTGAGGAGTAATTTATTTTATAATTTTGCTGTTGCTTTCTCCGTGGAGTCCTTGAGACTGAAGCTGCATTGGAACATAGAAGAAAAGAAAACCTGACTTAGCTAAGAGGCCGTGTGCTGATCACAGATAATCCTCTGTGCTATCTCCTAGATCGGTGGATCTCAACCCTATCAGATGCAATGTCCCTTCAAAAAGAAATATTTTCTAATATCCTGTTAGGAGCCCTGAAAGAAATTAATATGGAATATAAACTACCTACACTCCATTAAATGTGTATGTATATGTAAATGTGTGTATATATACGTTTGGTTTGTGTTTTTGTAATGATTAATGATGTTGAGCTTTTCATGTGTTTATTGGCCATTTGTACATTTTTGAAGATCCTTTGCCCATTTTTTAATTGAGTTATCTCTTTATTTATGTTCTAAGAGTTCTTTATATATTCTAGATACAATTCCTTATCAGGTATATGATCTGCAAGTGTTTTCTCCCATTCAGTGAGTGGGGGATAAATTCCAGATTATTGAAATGGAGAAATTCTGGAATAAGTCCCAGATTATTGAAATGGAGAAAATGAGGGCCAGCCCGGTAGTGCAGTGGTTAAGTTCACACGTTCCACTTCCGTGGCCTGGGGTTTGCCAGTTCAGATCCTGAGTGCGGACATGTCACCACTTGGCAAGCCGTACTGTGGCAGCTGTCCCACGTATAAAGTAGAGGAAGATGGGCACAGATGTTAGCTCAGGGCCAGTCTTCCTCAGCAAAAAGAGGAGGATTGGCAGCAGTTAGCTCAGGGCTAATCTTCCTCAAAAAATAAATAAAAAATTTTAAAAATGGAGAAAATGGGAAGTATGATATTCTTGCAGATGAACTGGACCTATTCCTGGAACTGTTGTCTTGAAATCCCAGCACATTTGACATTTGGTCTCTAGGATATAAAAAGACCTTGGAGACTGCATCTTTTGATAGGCAACAGAGAATAGAGGATGGATAGGGAAAAAAAGCTATGAATACAAGAGGTGGGGGCCAGCCTGGTGGCATAGTGGTTAAGTTTGTGCCCTCTGCTTCCATGGCTCTGCGGTTAGCAGGTTTGGATCCCAGGTGCAGACCTATATACCGCTCATCAAACCATGCTGTGGCGGCATCCCACATACAAAAAAGTAGAGGAAGATTAGCACAGATGTTAGCTCAGGGACAGTCTTCCACAAGCAAAAAAAAAAGAAAGATGATGGAGCAGTTATGAGGTCAGCCTGTGGGGATTGTGTCTGCTATTACTGAAAACAAAGGTGTTCAGGAGTAGATACTGTGGGTGCCAGGCACTGGGATATATATAAGATTATTTACTAGTTGTGCATCCTTAGACGAGCTATTTACTTTTTGGGAGTCTGTTTCTTTATACGTGTTATTGTGTCAAGTATGAAATCGTCTTTAGGATAGTAAAAACAGCAGCTAAGACACTGCTAAATGCGTTATAGGCTTCATTTCATTCACTTGCACATGAACCGTGAGGTAGACACCAAGGAGTAAAACTGAGGCTTAGATGATACAAGCGGTTGGGTCAGGATTTGAATCCATGTCTGTCTGATTCCAGAATCTTTGCTCTTAACTGTTTCATTATGTAGCCTTAAAATGCTATGAAATCATTTGTCCACTCTAAATCATTGTGTAGTATTATGTGGGACGATTTTTATGGTTTCATTGCTTGGAGTGTACCAAGATTAAGAGATAATGAGGATTGTCGGGGTCACCTTGAAATGGGAGAAATCTTGTTGGTGGAGATGATAGTTACTGGAACTCCCATACATTTCATCATGTTTCCTGTTAACGTTGTTAACATACAATGTAATCAAATATCTTTTCAAATTTACTTAGAAATTATTAGATACCTAAATATTTGGAAGGATACCCAACAGACTCAGAAAAATAAGACCTAAAGATACAGTCCCATTAGTGTCACATCTGAGAACTTTCTAAGATGGCATCTTTCCTCAGCGTGGCCTGATGAGCAGTGCCATGTCCTCGCCCAGGATCCGAACCCTGGGCCGCCTGCAGCGGTGCGCGCGAACTTAACCCCTAAGATGGCATCTTAACTACTGTGGGAGGCAGAATAATGACCCCACCCCCAGGTATCCAGGTCCTAATCCCCGGACCTGTGAATGTGTTACCTTATATGGCAAAAGGGACCTTGCAGATTGGTTGAGTTAAGGATTTTGAGACGGGGAGGTTGTCCTGGATGATCCTGGTGAGTTTAATCACAAGGCTCCTTAAAAAGTGAAGAAAGGGGCTGAAGAATCAGAGTTGGAAAAGGCCTGAGACAACAGAAGCATGGGTCAAAGTGATGAGATTGCCAGCTGGAGGCCGTCAGCCAAGGAATGAAGCTGGGAAAGGAAGAATTGGATTCCCCCCCTGGACCCTCCCGAAGGAATGCAGCCCTGCCGACACCTTGATTTTAGCCCGTGAGACCCATTGTGGATCTCTGACCTCCAGAACTGCGGGATAGTATATTTGTGATGTCTTAAGCCGCTAAATTTGTGGTAGTTTGTTAAGCATCAATAGGAAACTAATACAGTTACTAACTCCATGGAAACAGTATAAACATAAGATTCTTAATTCAGATTAAGCTCCAGAGAACTTCATTTACTGTCTCTAGTCTTTAATCTTGGGACAGTTTGATTTCTTTTCTTTTGGGAGGGTTTTGGTGTATGTTTTTCTGTGTACGCTCAGTTACTTGGCAAGGGGCCAGGGCTTGAGAGAGAAATACAAAGCTAACTCATTAGGTAAATAATTATTCCATCACAAAATAATTTCTGTAAGTACAGAAAATAAATCACCCCAACAAAACAAGACCTTCAAAAAAATTCATGGCCATTCATGTGAATTTAGATTTTTTTCCCTTAAAGAATATGTGGAAAAATAAAGATTTGTAACAGTAGAAACATTTGCCTCATTTGATGTTCTTAATGCTGCTTTTGTGGTAACTGGGTGGGAATCCTATGTAGTGGTAGAAAAACATTGATGCTGTGCTAGGTGGTGCAAAGAGACAAAGGCTGCAGAGCACATGGATTTAACTTGAAAAGTTTATAGCCATTTGAGTCCCACTCAGGATGTCTTGTTTGTATACGGTACAGCTTCAAGCAAAGGAGGTAAATCTTTAGGTGATAACTATCCTGCTTGCCGGGAACCAAGAAGTTTCCCAGCATGTGGGACTTTCAGTGCTAAAACTCGGAAAGTCCCTGGCCAATAGGATGAGTTGGTGACCTTGGAGGGATTAAGTCAGCTAGCTGCTGGAAGGCTCACGGTTGCATGGATTCTGAGCCAGGCCCCTACAGGCCATTGACACCGCTTACCCTACTCTCCTTGTCCACCCCACCCCAAGCGGACCCCTTGTCTGCTTCACTCTGGAGACTTGCACCGGTTAGACTTGAAGCAGATCTGTTAGAAAAGACAAGGGCTGTTGCAAGAAGCAGGGAGGCTTTCCAAGAGGTGTAGCCTCTAAACCGCACTTCTCCTCATCTTACATCAGACAACTTCAAGCTTGCTTGGAAGTCTGAATAAAAACTAAACAAAACAACAACAAGAAGCATCAAAGGTGTACTTTTTTTTTTTTTTGGTGGAAGATTAGCCCTGAGCTAACATCTGCCGCCAATCCGCCTATTTTTGCTGAAGAAGACTGGCCCTGAGCTAACATCTGTGCCCATCTTCCTCTGCTTTATATGTGGGACGCCTACCACAGCGTGGCTTACCAAGCGGTGCCATGTGTGCACCCGGATCCGAACCAGTGAACCCCGGGCCACCGAAGTGCAACGTGCACACTTAACTGCTGCGCCACTGGGCTGGCCCCCAAAGGGTGTACTTTTATGTGACTTGTCTTGTAATGAAAAACCCATCTGCTTTGTTCTCTAGTGAAGACAGAGTTTTCTGGAATACACAGACTGTGTGTTAATCTTTCCCAGCCCCCAGCAGTTACTGGATTATAAGCCAAACAGTCTCTAGTAGATCTAAATCCAGCACAGTGGGAATCCAGGAGTTTTGGCTTTGCATAGCCATTTCTATTTTGAAAACCACCTTCACATGAGTGATACTCAAAATCCCATTTTATAGTTGAGTAAAAGCTCAGCCTCATCAGTGTTTGCTAAAACATTCTGGAGGTCTTGCCTCTCTGTCATAAGAGATTTCTGTTAATAATAATTGGTGGCTAAGAGCGAACGAAAGCACAAGGGGAAGGACGCGTCAGACTCCAAAACCATCACCCTAATAATAATAACAGTTTGAATTTCCGTTATCTGGAATAAGAATAACCTCTAAGGGGCCGGCCCAGTGACCTAGCGTTTAGGTTCACGTGCTCCGCTTTGGCAGCCCAGGGTTCACTTGTTCGGATCCTGGGCGCGGACCTATGTGCTGCTCATCAAGCCATGCTGTGGCAGGTGTCCCACATATAAAGTGGAGGAAGATGGGCACAGATGTTAGCTCAGGGCCAATTTTCCTCAAACAAACAAAAAAAAGGAATAACCTTTTAAATTCATGTAAGCAAATCACAAAGCATTCTCGGGATTTTCCCAATTCTTTTCTATCCTTAAGTGTAGCCCCAAAAACTCAGCGAACACTGTGCGTCTTAGGTTTGTAACTTTCAAGTGCCAGGTGTGTGTGACATAGGCTATGCTGAGATATGAGATGTGTGGCATGCAGTTAGAAGTTAGCACAACCAACAGGAAGTGTTTGTGGAGGGTAGCATCTTGTCTCTTCCATAGCTTCCCTTTTCCTGGGTTTTCCATTTCTCACTCAGTAGGAAATTCCACAGGAAGTGGGATGACAAACTGAAGTCACTTTCTTTGGGTCAGTTGAGGGTAAAGGTTGCCTCTTTCCTGCCTTGAGAATTATCCAGAATGCTCATCTCCTCCTGCTCCCTATGTCTAGCCTCTTTACCAGGGGTGGATGCCATCAGCCTCAGCCTTCCATTTGGCCCAAGTCTGCCATTTGGCTTTGGTTTGGGTCTCAGCCTTTGGAAGGCCACGTAGTCAAATGACTACTTCAACATCATTTCTGGCCTCTCTGAACTTGTACACGATCCTTGAATGTGGGATCACATAAGTAACCATCATCTCAAATTGGAGTATCTCTGTCAGTGATACGAATGAGGCCTGTCTTTGGGATATGTCGTTTATATGTGAATATCCACTTTCGAATGTAAGTGAGCATTCTAGTTGCAACTGGAGTGAAAGAAATTTCCTTAGGTACAGTATGTTGAAATTTTGTCAGTAGTTTATATATTTAGATATATTATTGCTAAAATAAAATAATGATTGGAAGCCTTTATTTTCAAAAATAAGTTTCAAATAGTTTAATAGAAAAATCGATGGACAGACTATTAGGAAACA